CCTAATTTGCTTTCTTTTTTATAAATTTCTAGAAAGTATTTGTTACATTATCTTTATTTTTAATTTGTAATAATTTTGGTCATTTTCTGTAGGACTGATGAGGATATGAAATATATCGAAATTAATTTCCAAACCCGAGTTTTTCTACCTGTGAGAGTGAAACCTTTTTTTGCCAGTTTGGACAATTTACATATAAATTACTAAACAATCCCTTTAACTTGGATAAAACTGGATTCCTGAGAATATCCCACTCCACGTTGATATAGTATTCAGTCAGATCAATCCCTTGTTCAACATGTTCAGAGTCAGGGATTGCATGGATATGGATCAAATCAATCTAAACAGATAGAAACAGATTCAAAGAATAACAAGAGTTGAACTACTTTTTAATGGACTACGTGACATTAGTGAAAATCATCCTAGTCGATGTTGACAGCGTTGAATACCTTATTCTATGTAATAAATTAAACCCATTTGTGAATTCAGTAGAAATGTCTGTTAGAACCATTTAAAAATCTTGAACAGTCCCTTTATTTTCTCAGTTTACCTGGAACCCGTCGAATGTCCAGCTACCGAACTTGAGCCAACAAGTCTGCTCATCAAACGGGAAATATCTGACGTCAATATCACAGGAGGATTTAAAGATGGCCGGAGGTTCCCATTTCACCAGCCCGTCATGGTAGAGTGTCGCCTTCGTCATAGTCGTTATATGGTAGTTCCCATCCGCACTGTAAATATATATATATATATATATATATGGTAGTTCCCATCGCACTGCAAATATATATATATATGGTAGTTCCCATCCGCACTGTAAATATATATATATGATAGTTCCCATCCGCACTGTAAATATATATATATATATGGTAGTTCCCATCCACAATGTAAATATATATATTCTAGCCTTAGAGATCTTCTAAATTAATTGTGAACATGTTCTCTTTGTATACATCGTAAAACAAAATAAACAAACAAACAGACAAACAAACAGACAGACAAACAAGCCAAATTTATATATAGATGGTAGTTCTTTTTGTTTACATTTTAAAACAAAAAAGATAAAAAATTTTGCGGATTTTTAAAAATAAATTCGCGGATTTTCAAGAATTTAAATTTTTTTACAAAATTGAAAACAATTTGATACAAACAAACAGACATACAGACAAGCCATATTTATATATGGATGGTAGTTCCCATCCGCACTGTACATATATATATGGTTGCTACCATCCGACCTGTAAATATATATGGTAGTTCCCATTCGCATTGTAAATATATATGGTAGTTACCATCCGCACTGTAAATATATATGGTAGTTCCTATCCGCACTGTAAATATATATGTTAGTTCCCATCCGCAATGTAAATATATATGGTAGTTCCCATTCGCACTGTAAATATATATGTTAGTTACCATCCGCAATGTATATATATATATATTAGTTCCTATTCGCACTGTAAATATATATTTTAGTTCCTATCCGCACTGTAAATATCTATTTTTTTATTTCCTATCCGCACTGTAAATATATATGGTAGTTCCTATCCGCACTGTAAATATATATGGTAGTTCCTATCCGCACTGTAAATATATATGTTAGTTCCTATCCGCACTGTAAATATACTTGTTAGTTCCTCTCTGCACTGTAAATATAAAATATGGTAGTAAAGTAACTGATCATTAGCGGAAGATGAACGGACAACATTATGTCATATGAGGATATTGAGTGTCCATTGCTAAGAAGACGATATTTCTAGTACAATGTAGCGCATACTATACAACTTTAATTAATAGACAAAAAATCACTGTTTTACGAAATTAAAGATTAATATATTGCAAATGTTTTTGGGAATGAAAATCAAGAACAATATCAATTTTTGTAAAGTTAGATCGAGTTAACGGCTGATGTGCTACTCTAATCTTTACAAAAGCATCTTTTGATTATCTCATAAGTTTTCCCCAGAAAATATTATAAAATACTTCTAAGTATTATCCATATAAGCCGCACAAAGCTCTAAATCTATTCTATCAAAGATAAAGAAACTCTCAATGTGTTTACAATACATGTTCTTGATTTGATAAAGTAACGTAATATTTAAGACCAGCTTTGTCTGGAGTTCTCCCAATAAAAGTCAACTCACTCAATTTAGAAGTTTTAAACCAGGTTAAGAACATTCCTCTGGTCTACCGAGTTCCCAATAAGAATTTCAGTTAAGGGGTTCCTGAGTTATGATCGGACATTTAACCAGAGATTACTATACTTTAAAGACACACATACTAAAATCAATGCAATTTGTATAAACTGATAATATCAAGTCCAACTAAACAATGTACAATTTCTCTAATTTCATAAATGTAACATCATACTTACAGATACTGAGAAACCTGTAAATCTGTGAAGTAGGAAGAAGACATTAAATCAATCTTAATTGTATGTAAAGTTGTTAAGGAGTGTTATGTTATGGAATAAAAATCTGATGTCATAACTTGCGCCTAATAATCTTCCAAAACCAGGCGTTAACTATTCAGTATTTAAACTCTTTATAACTCTTCATTTATAAATTCACGCGTATGATATACGACGGAGTAGATTTTTGGTCTTTACATCTTTAACCGAGGAACAGGGAGAAAGATTTCATCGTTTTTTATCTTTAACCATGTCAAATTCTGTCAATTTCTTCTCTGTCTTTTTGAAATAAAAGATTACAAGATTATTCGTAATTTTTGTTCAGAGGTTTAAAATGTTCTTTAAATGGGGAATTACTTGAATTTAATTTGACAATCCCTTTAAACACGTGACTTGTACTTACTTGTTGTAGAGGATGATATCTGGCAACCAGATAATCTCTGAGGGTACATAGATCTCCTCTACTCCACCATACTCATCAGGATCCCATTGGAGCTTATCATCCCTCCACTCCTAGATATTATTCATTTATTTATACTTTGGAGTGTATCATCCCTCCACTCCTAGATATTATTTATTTATTTATATTTTGGAGTTTATCATCCCTCCACTTCTAGATATTATTTATTTATTCATCTATTGGAGCTTATCATCCCCCAACTCCTAGATATTATTCATTTATTCATCCATTGAAGCTTATCATCCCCACTCCTAGATATTATTTATTTATTCATCCATTGGAGCTTATCATCCCCCACACTCCTAGATATTATTCATTTATTCATCTATACTTTGTCCATTGGAGCTTAACATCCTCCCATTCCTAGATATTATTCATTTATTCATCCATTGGAGCTTATCATCCCTCCACTCCTAGATATTCTTCATTTATTCATCCATTGGAGCTTATCATCCCTCCACTCCTAGATATTCACCATTTATTCATCTTTTGGAGCTTTTCATCCCTCCACTCCTTGATATTCTTCATTTATTCATCTATTGGAGCTTATCATCCCTCCACTCCTAGATATTATTCATTTATTCATCTATTGGAGTTTATCATCCCTCCACTCCTAGATATTATTCATTTATTCATCTATTGGAGCTTATCATCCCCCCAGTCCTAGATATTATTCATGTATTCATCTATTGGAGCTTATCATCCCTCCACTCCAAGATATTCTTCATTTATTCATCTATTGGAGTTTATCATCCCTCCACTTTTAGATATTATTCATTTATTCATCTATTGGAGCTTATCATCCCTCCACTCCTAGATATTATTCATTTATTCATCAATTGGAGCTTATCATCCCCCCACTCCTAGATATTCTTCATTTATTCATCTATTGGAGCTTATCATCCCCCCACTCCTAAATATTATTCATTTATTCATCTATACTTTGGAGTTTATCGTCCCCCCACTCCTAGATATTCTTCATTTATTCATCTATACTTTGGAGTTAATCATCCCTCCACTCCTAGATATTATTCATTTATTCATCCATTGGAGTTTAACATCCTCCCACTCCTAGATACAATTCATTTATTCATCCATTGGAGTTTATCTTCCCTCCACTCCTAGATATTATTAGTTTATTCATCCATTCAGGTTTATCTTCCCTCCACTCCTAGATATTATTAATTTATTCATCCATTGGAGTTTATCGTCCCTCCACTATTTGATACTGTTCATTTATTCATCCATTGGATTTTATCATCCCTCCACTATTTGATACTTTTCATTTATTCATCCATTGGAGTTTAACATCCCTCTACTCGTTGATATTTTTCATTTATTCATCCAAACATTGCAGCTTATCATGGACATTTTAGAATTGATATGTTTTGATGTTGATTAAAAAAAGTAATTAAACAAAATATAAATATTCACCATTGAGGTTAATAATGATGGTTGTATTATGAACCTTGCTCTGTAAAGGAATAATTAGATGGTGGTAAGGGGAGGGGGCGGGGGGGGTAAATATATTAGTTTCTACACTATGTATTCTCTTCTCTACAATATATGAATGTAGGATAATATTAGGGAACCAGCTGGAGAACATATCGACAACATTTTGCCATTTTTTTATTCAGAAGAGAAAATGGAAAAAAATTCATCAAAAACAATTTTTTACAACTTAAGAAACATTTACAAATTTCTTCTTCATGTGATCTTCAAGGGATAATTCATCAATTCGAAAATAAACATTTTAAAATCTTTTTAAGTTTATGGCTCTGGTAAATGTTCATTCGGAAAACTTTCAAGGATTTTTTTATCTTTCCATGCATTGGAATGATGAAGTGAGAAGGATAAGAAAGAACCCAGTTTTTATCTAACTCTGGTTGTATCTTCTCAGCTCCGGGTTCTCAAGACATTACAAAGATATTCTAGAATCCTCGAACATGCTCTACTCTTACAATGGAGTAAACCAATTTTAGAAATGAGAGTTTTAACAAATACAGTTTATTTTTAAAATAGTTTTCTGTTTCAACAGACGTTTAGAAAACAAAGTTCTTATGGCTCACATTCTGTTGAAACAAATACAGAATGTTCAAACTAAGGCAGTCTGTTAAAAACAATTTTCAAAACAATTCAAACGAATTTAATGAATTTGAGCCGCGTCTCAAATCCGCCAAATCTTGAAAAAATCAATACAATTTTTAAGTGAAACCAACCATATTTGAGCCGCGGCTCATATTCTTTAAATTCGGCCTCTGTTCTAACCAAAAAAAAGGTTGATATTCTATTTAGAAGATGAAAAAAATCTCCAAACATTAAACAGTCTAGACTTGACTTTTTCGCCCATTATCAACTAAAAATAAATAAATGAAATAAATTACCGTTTCTACCCACAGATTTGTCGTCAAAATTTGATTCTTCAAATCCTGAAATATGAAAATTATTTAGATAAAGAAATATCAGATAAAGAAATAACAGAGCTAAAAAACTTTGAGATGGCAAAGTTATTGAGTTTTTGCCACAACTTATTGTGCAAACACCTATATATCTTTGCAACCTGATGGTGTAAACATTTAACCTCGATTTTTTTATATTTCTTAGTTTGAGATAATTAAGGTCTAGTTAAGATCAATTTCTTTAATCGATTCGAATTTCCTTATGGGATATTTCTCTCAATTAAAATAAAAACAAAGTATACAAATAAGGTTTTAATTTCTTTAATTCAGTTAAATGCCCCTTCATAGTCAATCTTCTTTTAGTTCTAAATATAAACTGTTTGCATAAAAAGTAAAAATGGCAATATTAACATAGAAATCAATCATGTTTTTATTATGATAAACAATATATTTATATATATATATATATTTACCAGGTCAACTAGTTGTGAGAGCTTGAGACCCATTTTCACAGTAATTTTATCCGTATTGTTAGCTACAGGTCGTATCAACCTGTTATAATTACTCAAGAGATCATCGTACAACCGTTTAGCATCAGGGTTCCCTCCTGCAGTCTCCAGGTGTACCAGGAGAACAAGGAACCCTGGAACCAGGAGGTTTACACTCATCCTACTCATCTCAACCCATTCCAGGCCCAGATCCAGATCTTATACTGGAGAATACAGGGGACTAGGGATCCAACCTCCAGAGGCTAGCGGAGCCGCATCCTCTCCGGCCTCAGCATCATTCCTTGTATACACAGTATATATAGAGGATATTTAGAGGATATACTGGATACAGTTTACTTTCGCAAATATATGATAGTTTAGATTCTTTCATTCAGAGGGATGGGAGTTAAAGAGACAAATTGAGCAAAATATTATGATGAAGATGCTCTGTGGAACAATACACCAATGCTATTCTTGAAGCCTAAATAACTATACAACACCCTTCTCATCCTGGTATTATTCAAATGTTATAATAAATACCTTAAAAACATTAGTTTTGCAGAGAGCGCTTGAGAACTTTTAATTGCAAGAAAAATCAGGCTAGAGATATCAAAGGATTAGATGATTAGATGAAACCAAGGATTATATGAAACCATGAATTAAACGAAACCATGGATTAGAATTTGATGAAACTATAAAAATTAATGAAACCAAGGATTAGATGAAACCATGGATTCGATGAAACCATGGATTTAATGAAACCATGGATTTAATGAAAAACTATGGATTAGAAATTAGAATTAGATGAAACTATGGATTTAATGAAACCAAGGATTAGATGAAACCATGGATTCGATGAAACCATGGATTAGATCAAACTATAGATTTAATGAATCCATGAATTTAATAAAAACCATGGATTAGAATTAGATGAAACTATGGATTTAATGAAACCATGGATTAGATGAAACTTTGGATTTGAGAAAACCCTGCACTATATGAAACTATGGACTATGGAAACAAAATCTAGGATAATTTGAAACCAGGGATTATATGAAACCAAGGATTCGATTAAACCAGATATCAAACGAACCCACGGAACTCTGTAAATCCTTAAAACTGATACCCAGTTCCTTCATCTATAGATGGATAAACATCCTTCAATGTAAATATTATTCCGATGGTTTGAGGTTGGTAAATAGTGTTTATTAATCCTTGGTAACATTATTTATACTCATGTAATGTATTTACCAATCCTTTAGAAATCCTAAAATAAACTTGGTTCTCAATAGAAGAAAAACCAAACTAGCAATGTTCTCAGTTTGCACAGTTTTTAAATGTTTTATTTTTAATTGAAAGATCAAAACGCAAAACTGTGATAATGATTTGTCCTATATGTCTCTCTGTTTCAGATTTTTAAAGAATCTTATCCAACAACAATTATTCGCCTTTTTGTGTGGTTTTAGAAACAAAAAAGCCAACACGGCAGAACTGTAAGCATCTGTACGGAACACGGCCAAATGATACCAAATGTTACCAAATTCAAGTAACTGTTCCTAAACTTTCAAAAATGTCCCCAAACGCTTCACAATGTTTCCCAACAAATAAATATCCTTCTAAATTCTTCAAAATGTCTCCCAACTCCTAAAATTGATTACCGATTTCTTAAGATTTTCTCAACTACTAAAAATCCTTCCAGATTCATAAAAAGTCTCTTAACTTCTAAAAATGTTCCTTAACTCCTTAAAATGTTACCAAATCTTAATAACATTTCCTTAATCCCTAAAAAGTACCTCTAAAAAGTGGTCCCCAACTTTTAAAAATGTTCCTCAACTCCTTAAAATGTTTCCCAACACCTTAAAAAAGTCCCATAAATTCCCAAACTCTTCAAAACGATCTCTAACTTCTGAAAACTCATAAAAAATATTTTGGCCCTGATTCCTTAAAAAATGTAAATTTGAAAAAATGTTAATATCTTCTAAAAATACCTTAGTTTGGATTTAATGATTTGATATACTAATAAAGGCTCTTGCTTTGAAACCAAAACTAGGATGGAAAAGATGGAAGGAAGGTGTGTGTGGAAATATCTTTGAAAGATAATATAGGTTATGTATGTAAGAAACCGTACAAATCTTTTAACCCTAAAAAAGGGCAGAGCAAGTATATCTCGTTCAAAAACTTTAAATTCTGAATATTTGTTATCAATTTCTGAAATAAAACGCGCAGTAATTTTACATTTTTCTAAAACCATGGACCAGAATTAATGAATAGCAAGACATAGTTAAACCACATGAAAGACTAGGTTGAACCAGTTCTCTTCAGGTTGAACCGGTGCAAAACTACTTTTCACCACTAATTAAATTTTGTCCTGGAAAAGACGTTGATAATAGAAGATAATACATCAGTAAGGAATTAAGTCTTTACCACAAACTCAAATTTTCTAAACCCTATACATTCGCAACTTGATACTGTAAACCTTACATATTTCAAACTTAGATTATCTAATCTAACAGAATTCATATCTAAGGTCGACGACTTTGGGTTGCTATAAAATGATTACAAAATCATAGTTTGTTGTAAAGACTAAATTCCTTCATTCGACTACTGTTTACTCATTGTGTCTTTGGGTCCGAAAAACAGTTAATTGCCGTAGACTTTAAACCAGCACACAAAAACACATTCATATCTTCTTTGATAGTGCGCACAGAAGCAGATCAAAAGCAGTTCCGAGTAAATAGGAAAAAAGGCGTATTTTTTCCTTTCCTCCCAACCTTTTAAACACTATGCTAGCATTCACAATTAAGAATTAAATTAAACATTGTTATATCTCTGAAGAGTTTACTACAATGCTCCCGCAATAAACTAATGTTCTCAAGTTTGTAAACGGAATAAAAACAAGTTTCCCTCGCTAGGAACTTCTTAATTGTCTCTCCACTGTCAGATTAGGTTTCAAAATACAAATTTTACAGCTTAGGTATTTTAAGTTATATTTTTATAAATATATATTTCATTAAAGCAGAAAAAAGTTATTTTAAATTTCTGATATGTATCCTATTTTATCATTAATCGACATATAAAGAGAGAATAAACTGAATTGATATTATCAAAGTTCATGTGACACACTCAGACAGACAGAAGGAGATCATATTTAATCGATATTACGGGTACACCTTTGTGACATCGTAGCTCCTCTAGCATTTTACTTACCTTTAATTAGATGATTTATTATTTAAAACAGGAAAGATATCAATCTAACATAAAATTAACTTTAATTTAACGTGGTGTGGAGAACTGCAACAATAATAGTTATGCTTGACATTTTCATGGATCTTGAATAGCGGAGAAAAGGAGGGTTGTGAAAATAAAGGATGGATAAGGAAAGAAGGGAACAAGGATGAAGGTTATAGGGAAATGAAAAATAAGAGAAACCTTATGAGAAGGAGGGAAAAAGATGGACGTTAAAGGAAGAGAAATTGGGCGAAAAGGAAATAAAGATGAAAAGAAAAGAGAAAAAGGATGGAAGAAGAATGATGGAAGTATTCTAGGAAAAGAAAAAAAGGATGGAAGAAGAATGATGGAAATATGCTTGGAAAAGAGAAGAAGGATGGAAGAAGAATGAAGTAAATATGCTAGGAAAAGAGAANATGGTAGAAGATGGTAGAAGATGGTAGAAGATGGTAGAAGATGGTAGAAGATGGTAGAAGATGGTAGAAGATGGTAGAAGATGGTAGAAGATGGTAGAAGATGGTAGAAGATGGTAGAAGATGGTAGAAGATGGTAGAAGATGGTAGAAGATGGTAGAAGATGGTAGAAGATGGTAGAAGATGGTAGAAGATGGTAGAAGATGGTAGAAGATGGTAGAAGATGGTAGAAGATGGTAGAAGATGGTAGAAGATGGTAGAAGACGGCAAGAACAAAGAAAAGGGGAAAAAGAATGATGGGACAACATGGGTTAATTGATAAAGGAAGGAGGATTAGAGGATGGATAGACACCAGGAGGTCAAGGATATAGTAAGGAGGAAGGAGGAACTCCAGGAGGTCTAGGATAAAGGAAGGAGGAAGGATGAACTCCAGGAGGTATAGAATATAGGAAGGAGGATGGATTAAGTCCAGGAGGTCTAGGATATAGGAAGGAAAAAGGATGAACTCCAGGAGGTCTAGAATATAGGAAGGAGGGTGGATTAACTCCAGGAGGTCTAGAATAAAGGAAGGAGGATGAGAGGATGGATAGACTCCAGGAGGTCTAGGCTATAGTAAGGATGAAGGATGAACTCCAGGAGGTCTAGGATAAAGGAAGGAGGAAGGATGAACTCCAGGAGGTCAAGAGTATAGTAAGGAGGATGGATTAACTCCAGGAGGTTTAGGATAAAGGAAGGAGGAGGATGAGAGGATGGATAGACTCTAGGAGGTCTAGGATATATTAAGGAGGATGGATAGACTCTAGGAGGTCTAGGATGTTGGATGGATGATGGATGAACTTCAGAAGGTATAGGATATAGGAAGAAGGATGGATAGACTCCAGGAGATCTAGGATAAAGGAAGGAGGTTGAGAGGATGGATAGACTCCAGGAGGTCTAGGATATAGGAAGGAGGAAGGATGAACTCCAGGAGGTCTAGGATATTGTAAGGAGAATGAAAGGATGGATAGACTCCAGGAGGTCTAGAATATAGTAAGTAGAATGAGAGGATGGATAGACTCCAGGAGGTATAGAATATAGGAAGAAGGAAGGATAGTTTCCAGGAGGTCTAGAATATAGTAAGGAGAATGAGAGGATGGATAGACTCCAGGAGGAAGGATGGATAGACTCCAGGAGGTCTAGAATATAGTAAAGAGAATGAGAGGATGGATAGACTCCAGGAGGTCTAGAATATAGGGAGAAGGATGGATAGACTCCAGGAGGTCTAGAATATAGTAAGGAGAATGAGAGGATGGATAGACTCCAGGAGGTCTAGAATATAGGAAGGAGGATGGGAGAATAGTGGGTGGAGGCTGGAGTAGGGCCCCGGTCAATAGTTTCTAGTTCAGCTGGGTTTCTCGAGATAAAGATACAGATATATTTACTCTAGTTTTTACATCTAAAGATAACAAAAAATATATGTGTTTTCATTATTTTAATTCGTACATAAAACCTCTTTTATGTTGGAAATTTACTAATTTTAAATACATTTCGAAAAGTATTTATTTGCTTCTTCAAAGTTTCTTATAAACAAATTGGAACGATTGCTATCGGATTGAACCTAATTAAATCTACCTATGGTTTTTACTTTGAGTTCTCTTGGATCTCTTTGCAATACCGGATAAAATAAAAACATTTTTCGAAAATGGAATTTTTACCCTTACAAAATCCTTTCCTGAAAGAAGGGACGAAATAGGGTTCCTCTTTTTCTGCTGCATGGGACCCAGTGCTCTTCTTTTTTATTTTTAAAAATCTTTAATATTTTACAGTATTAATTTGATATGTAGATATACAATATGCACAAGTACTTTATTTCTTTATATATGTTCAATTTGTACAATATATGTTTATTGTACAATATATGTTCATTGTACAATATATGTTCAAATTGTACAATGTAACACAAAATATTCTTTCAGTATGCTGGATCAAAAATGAAGAAATTCCTATTTTTGATTTTTGTTTATTTATTTTTTGTTGAATGTACTGCAAATCCAGATGCAAAGCGTCTGTATGAGAATCTGCTTGCTAACTATGACAGGTGAATGAATATTAATTTTGAAATATAGTGATTAAAATATTTCTTCAAAAAGCAACCGTCGTCGTATTGTTTAAAGAACTTTTCCAGGTTCTTTATTTCCTAAATATTGTATTTATCAAGACGCAAGTGTTTTTGTCCTTTATCAATTAGAAATACTAAAGATTAGATTACATTATTTACTACTCTGTCTTCAATTGTTTTCTTATACAGAGTTTTTCTGATCCTCGTTTTCATTTTTCTTAGTGTCTTAATTTTTTCCGGCTCCCCCCTTTCAAATACGTACATTCTTTCCTATCTACTCCTTTTCTAGATATTTCCGTTATATCTACTCATCCCAGTCTACTATACTTCATGTCTTCTCTTTCCTGTCTACTCCTTTCCTATATACTTCCTTTATATCTACTCATCCCAGTCTACTATATTTCATGTCTCCTCTTTCCTATCTACTCCTTTTCTAGATATTTCCGTTATATCTACTCATCCCAGTCTACTATACTTCATGTCTCCTCTTTCCTATCTACTCCTTTTCTATATACTTCCGTTATATCTACTCATCCCAGTCTACTACTTCATGTCTCCTCTTTCCTATCTACTCCTTTTCTAGATACTTCCGTTATATCTACTCATCCCAGTCTACTACTTCCTGTCTCCTCTTTCCTATCAACTCCTTTTCTATATACTTCCGTTATATCTACTCATCCCAGTCTACTACTTCATGTGTTCTTTTTCCTATCTACTCCTTTTCTAGATACTTCCGTCATATCTACTCATCCCAGTCTATTACTTCCTGTCTCCTCTTTCCTGTCTTCTTCTTCCTGTCTAGTCTTTTATTGTCTACTCTTTTCTTGTCTACTTCTTTTTATCTACTTCGTCCTGTCTACTCCTTTTATCTTCTCTATCCTGTCTGCTCTTTTCTGTCCACAATTTCCTGTCCCTTTTTTCCTACAAAAATATTTCTGTCTTCTCTTCAACGTTTACTATTTGTGAATAAACCTTGTCTAAAGCCTTGTATTCCAAAACTATGAATATCTATAATCTGATGTATACTCTTGTGTAATGGATTGTGTATGTTTAGATTGATTCGTCCTGTTGCTAACAGTTCAGATCGGTTAACCGTACACTTGAGACTTAAACTCTCCCAGGTTATTGGAGTGGTAAGTTCTTTCATACAATCATAGGATTCTATAATAATATACTATTCTTGTGTTAAGGATAAATATTATTCTTGTGTTCAGGATTATTATTGTTATTGCGTTCAGGATTAATATTGTTCTTGTGTTCAGGATTACTATTGTTCTTGTATTCAGAATTGATTGTTCTTGTATTCACGATTAATATTGTTCTTGTGTTCTGGATTGATATTTTTCTTGTGTTCAGGATTAATAATGTTCTTGTTTTCAGGATATGAGAAGACAGATACTAACAACTAATGTTTGGGTAGAGCAGGTAAATAGATATAATGATGGTTTATGTTCATGATTATCAGTATCTTCTGTAACCGAAACTTTCTGTATAATATTTATCGTACCTCTCTGTTAAAGTAACTCTCTGTACTTTATTAATTGAAATTGCCTGTCCTATATTTATCGGAACTCTATGTCCTATATTTATCGAGACTCTATGTACTATATTTATCGGAACTCTCTTTACTAAAGTTATCGGAACTTTCTGTATAATATTTATCGTACCTCTCTGCTATAGTAACTCTCTGTACTATATTAATTGAAACTGTCTGTTCTATATTCATCAGAACTCTCAGTCCTATATTTATCGAAACTATATGTACTTTATTCATCGGAACTCTCTTTACTAAAGTTATCGGAACTTTCTGTATTTTATTTATCGGAACTCTCTGAACTATATTGATTAAAACTCTCTGTACTATATTGATTAAAACTCTCTGTACTTTATTTATCAGAACTCTCTGTACAATATTATCGGAACTCTCTGTCCTAAATCTATTGGAATTCTCTGTCCTATAAGTATCGGAACTCTCTGTCCCATATGTATCGGAACTCTCTTAATTATATTTATCGGAACTCTCTGTACTATATTATCGGAACTCTCTGTACTATATTATCGGAATTCTCTGTACTATATTATCGGAACTCTCTGTACTATATTATCGGAACTCTCTGTACTATATTATCGGAACTCTCTGTGCTATATTATCGGAACTCTCTGTACTATATTATCGGAACTCTCTGTACTATATTATCGGAATTCTCTGTACTATATTATCGGAACTCTCTGTACTATATTATCGGAACTCTCTGTGCTATATTATCGGAACTCTCTGTACTATATTATCGGAACTCCGAGAAAATGCAATCATATCCAATTTATTCCGCTTTGTATGAATGAAAGAGAAAATATTAATATTGATAATATTATTAGAATAATACAAAAAACAGACCGTGGTGGGGAATAGGATTATATACTGTTACATACAATACAATTATATTACATAGAAAACTATATAAAATGTTTAACAAAATGGTATCGATATTTGTAGTTGGTCTTTTGAAGGTTAGGGTTGGGTTAAATTGCTTTTCTTTCTGTTTGGTTTAAACTTTCTTAATGGATTCATATAGTAAGGAACAAGGGTATAAGATAAATCAAGGATTAAATTAATTAAAATAGGATCTTTCAAAGAAACCAAATATATTCCCCACTAATTAATTCGCAATTTTTCTTAGTTAACATAATTTCATTTCGTAAACAAAACTTCCATTTACAAAGTGGCATATACGATTAAACATATCCATTTAACATTTGTCTAGCTAAGGTTTACATAGATTTTATTATTTATATTTATTATTTTATTTATTTAGTGCCGGAGTCCAAAAAAAAGTACAAAAGTATTAGTAACGGGGTTTCACGAATGGGGTAAGGCTACTTTGTAGATATCAATAAAAAAATTTTGATAAATTATTTTTTTTATACGGTTGGTTTTTTCTTGAAATAAACCTATACAATTTTATATACCACAAAAAGGAAAGTTTAGTTTAACTTTACTCTTTTAAATTTCCGGCTCCGAAGTGTACAGTATAATGGAATGTTTCAATGTACGTCATCCATATAAATAAGGATATTCTTGCGGGGTCAAAGAATTAAAGGTTGTTAATGGCGGGTCACTTTAAATAAGGTCTACGGTCCATTCAAGAAAATTAAGGAATTATTTTTTCTGATTTAGGAATGGAGGGATTACAAGCTCTCATGGGATCCAGCAGATTATGGTGGAGTTAAACATCTTCATGTACCATCACAGGATATCTGGCTTCCAGATATAGTACTGTACAACAAGTAAGTATATTCATGTACCATCTTAGGATATCTGGCTTCCTGATATAGTACTGTACAAAAAGTAAGTGTATTCATACAGGGTGTCCCACATCATATTAGATCGTCAATCGGTCTAAATTGCGATTTTCGGGACTAATTAGAAAATTTAATAAGAATAAATTATTTTGAAAAATTAAATAAGAATTAAGAATTAAATAATCAAAGAATTAAATATAAGAATTTTCTTGTGGAAAATACAAGTTTTTCGAATATTTTGGGTTTATTCCGGCGTTAAAACTTGGAGATAATCTAATATGATATGGGACGCTCTGTATACTATCACAGGCTATCTGGCTTCCAGATATAGTATTGTACAACAAGTAAGTATATTCATGTACAAAATATCCTATTTTTACAACAGTATATTTCTGTAAATTCACAACATATTTTGCGGCTAGATACTTTATACATAAATGATGAAAACAAAATTTAAGAAAGATATATTTGGATAAAGTATAGGTCTACAATCTGCACTGCGGAACCTTTTATATTTTATAAATATTCTTTAAACATATCAAGATTATCTTAACAAACTTAATTGAAGGAAGATTACTCGCCTCAAAACATAATTTTATAAACAAAAATATATATTTGCAATACCATCATTTTCCAAAGAAATTGAGATCAGAAAGGAACTGAGTCTTTGCAACAAACTCAAATTTCTAATCCCAATATCTTTCCAACCTGATGGTGTAAACATTTGATATAACTCTGACTATCTAACAGAATTCACAGTTTGAAATATCAAATGTCTACGCCATTGGGTTGAGAAGATGTTGGGATAAGAAAATCAGAGTTTGTGGCAAAGACTCAGTTCCTTTATATTTTAAGCGAGTAAGCAGTTATTTGCCCAATTCTTGAACTAACACTGATTTCAATAGATGAACTTTATAGTTTGGTGCAGTTTCTATGTGGCCCGGATATTCTTATTCTTGTTAGGTTTGCGTGAACTGTAGCCATGCGCCAAGTTAGAGCAATTTTATTATATCATTTATCTTCATATTTATCACACTTCTTCCCTTCTTTATCAAATAGAAACTTCCATCATTAATCTCTATTTTATTTTATCTTTAAATTCTATCCAAGACTTTGCTAACTTTCCTTAATGCAGAGAGACTCAGTAATCTGAGCAGGCAATGCATTTCTTATATGCGACATCTATTCACTATTGTTAATCTAATCAATGCAAGAAATTTAAATTAACTTTAATCATTTACTTGCTAAAACCCGTGGAATTAAAAAAAATGAAGTTTTGAAAAAAAATTTTATTAATAGTTTGATTTGTATAGCCCGTGTCACCCAGGGTACTCATGGGTTTCCTAAATAATTTTAGTCTATTCGGTCCAGCCGTTAAGCCAGCTATAGCTGAAATATACACAAATATATATATATATGAGTAAAGACCTTTATTATCAAAGAGATTTCTGCTTATTATAAAAATAACCCTCACATCAAGATATGTACACAAAAATATCATAAAATTACTCATAACACTAATATTTTGGCACGATGTGTAAAGTTTTATGACTTAGATTTCTCTGTATTTCAAAGGAACTCGCCTTCTTGATAAAATGAAGGTTCTGTACAAAATATAATTTTCAGCAAAGCGAACCAAAATAATAGTGTTTTGAGTAGTTTATTTTGTACGAAAAAGAGTGAAATAATTAATTTTTCCATTTAAAAAACGTGAATGTGTCTTCAGTTAAAATTATCTAATTTTATAACATTTTTATTACAGTGCAGACGGGAACTACGAAATCACCATCATGACAAAGGAAAATGTTTTTATTTAATTATGGAAAATTTATAGTTGTTTTATTTCATTTTGGATTTTTGGAAAATGTATTTATCATTAAATTTATTTTTGAATGCGTCAGAAGAATATTATTATACTAAAATTATTTCTAAAAATTTGTTTTATTGAAAAAAAAATTCTTGTGACCTAGGCTATCTTGCATTATAACGGGCGTGTGACCTGGACCCCTCCAGCTATCTACAAGTCATATTGTGGAATTGATGTAGAATTTTTCCCTTTTGATGAACAGGTAGAAAGAAACTTATTTTCAGGAGTTGTTCGTAAAAATGATTTTAAAATTCAAGCTGTCCACTTTATGAGCTACATTTTAGATTCACAATAGTACCCTCCTAACTTTTGTCGGCTCAAAAATGTTGGGGTTATTCTAGTGTTTCCATTTGAAAATTTTTTATTACGGTATTATGCGCTCGAGAGAAAGGAAGAAAATCGAAAGAATTGTTGTTTTTTACGCAAAAAAACTACATTATCAGGATTTTTTAAATTGAATATTAATCATAGTCATGAATCGATTGGTACTATATTTAATTTCTATTAAATGCCTCCACCATGCCTGTCACATATACAAAGAGCTAGAGAGACAGCCTATAGTTAACTATAAATGGTTGAGCCTGCACAAACTTATGACCAATGAGAGGTCTGTTAATCATTCAATTTTGATATTAGTGGGGAAATTAGTAGTTTAAGTCATTTAAATTTTCCATTAGTAGTTCCCAGCTCAGGCCTAGAATAAGTTTAGTTAAAGTATGAATAATTCAGGAGTGTCGGATGAAGTTTGGAAGTTGGTCACATGACGGGTTGATGGTGGACTTGAGGAAAATTCCGTTTGATCTTAGAAATATTATTATCCAGGGTGTTTCACACAACATTTAAGATCATGCGTTTTACAGAGTGGCCTGCAAATTAAGAGTAATTTAATTCCTTCTCCATTTTTCCAAAGCATCAAGAATAATTCATTTACATTTTTTCAACGAAAATATTTAGCTGTGACGTTTGTAGAAAGAGCAAATACAAATCTAAAACTTCCCATGTTCAGTTGCAAAGGAATTCTTTGTAAAATATTCATTTTTTTTAATCCTTATATCTTTGCAACCTCATGATGTACACCTTTGAAATTTCTAACTTACATCACTTGATCTAACAGCATTCATAGTTTGAAATATTAAAGTTCTACAACATGGGGTTGCAATGATATTGAAATTAGAAAATCAGAGTTTTTGGCAAAAGCTCAATTCCTTTGGAGCGGCATGTCATGACGTTCTACGCAATTTTTTTTTCCTTCAAAGGCTGGCAATAATTTGATCCCATAAGAATATGTTGGCCAAAAATTTTATTGTTTGTGATATCAATGTTTATGTTAACGCAAAAAAAAATAAAGCATGTAAAAGAAAATTCAAGAAAGTAAAAAGGAAATTCTGTGTGAAGTATAAAGTTTTTATATGATATTGCTGCAGCTTGAGATAAAATAACGATAAGATAAAACTAGACAGTTAACTAGAACTAGAACTAGAACTAGAACTAGAACTAGAACTAGAACTAGAACTAGAACTAGAACTAGAACTAGAAATAGAACTAGAACTAAAACTAGAACTAGAACTGGAACTAGAACTAGAACTAGAACTAGAACTAGAACTAGAACTAGAACTAGAACTAGAATTAGAACTTGGAAATATATGTAAGGAATTGAAAATTGCGGTTTGATGAAAACAATCAGTTTCTTTAACGGCATTTATAAATATATCATGAAACCGAACTACCAGGCACATGAATCAGGTACCCTCGAACAACAACATCCCGGTGGCCATGGACCTCAGAGATTTCTATATCTCCACTGAGTGGGATGTGATGGCTGTTCCTGCAGTTAGAAATGAAAAATTCTACCCTTGCTGCGAGGTAGAATTATTTAAGCCTGATAGAAACTGTTTGTAAAATTAGACATGGCTTATGCTTCATCAAAATGGTATTTTTAACCGATGTTTCTGTGCACAGAACTTTAACATAAGCCGCCTTCCAGGAAACCCAAAAATGCAGTTCAAAAATAACTCTTCTTATTTTATTTTATCCAATATACAACTCTTATTTTTGACGCCTAAAATGATCTAAACATTCAGTGAAGATTTAAATTTTTTATTTTGCTACAAGTTTATGAGCATATTTGAGGGGTAAAATTCATCCTTCCTGTAAAGTTTATATTTGAGGGGTAAAATTCATGGTCCCTGTAAAGTTTATATTTGAGGGGTAAAATTCATGGTCCCTGTAAAGTTTATATTTGAGGGGTAAAATTCATGGTCCCTGTAAAGTTTATATTTGAGGGGTAAAATTCATCCTTCCTGTGAAGTTTATATTTGAGGGGTAAAATTCATGGTCCCTGTAAAGTTTATATTTGAGGGGTAACCTGTAAAGTTTATATTTGAGGGGTAAAATTCATCCTTCCTATAAAGTTCATATTTGAGGGGTAAAATTCATCCTTCCTATAAAGTTTATATTTGAGAGGTAAAATTCATCCTTCCTGTAAAGTTTATATTTGAGGGGTAAAATTCATCCTTCTTATAAAGTTTATATTTGAAAGGTAAAATTCATCCTTCCTGTAAAGTTTACATTTGAGGAGTAAAATTCATCCTTCCTGTAAAGAAAGCGTAAAAGTTCACGATTGGAAAGGAAACGTCTACAATCTTGAATATTATTTCTATATTTTGGATATCCTTGAAAGCTACAAGCTGCATAAAGACCTTTACGTTTAACTTTAATTGTTTTCCACGCTTTGATTTGAAACAGATTCTAATTAATTAAAGAACTTAAAAGGGCGGCCTCCTTTGATCCTTTGAATCTAATCAACTTCTGGAGTTTAAACTTTGTTTATTGTATTTAGCAAACTTAGAGAAATCTTGATTTGAACTAATTCCTTCACTGTATTAAATTAAGCACAAAATAAAATGGTGGCGCGCATTTACGGCCAACATGCAAATATGTTCATCCCTAGGCCATCGCAGCGAAAAAAAAAAACACAGGGGTGTGCACCCCCCGGAGATAGAAAAAAATAATTACAAAAAAGAATCAAATGGTGAACGTTATTATTCTTTTTAAACGATAAAAAATGTTAATATTTCACTATAAAGATTTTACACCACACAAAATCTTATTCTCCCCCCCCCCCTCCTTCCTCCGTTCCTCATTAAATCCCCAAATTGCAACTTTTTGCCCTATTAATGTACCCTTTGCGAAGTGGTGAAGTTTTCTTAGTAAACACATTATTACATTATGTTGCTGTTTAGGAACCCTACCCGGATATAGTGTTCAGGATCTACCTCCGTCGGAAAACTCTGTTCTACGTCGTGAACCTGATTATACCCTGTGTCGGAATATCCTTCCTATCAGTCCTTGTATTCTATCTGCCCTCAGAGTCAGGGGAGAAGATATCTCTTTCCATCTCCATCCTTCTCTCACTCACTGTGTTCTTCCTTCTCCTGGCGGAGATTATTCCTCCGACCTCTCTCTCTGTTCCTCTGCTTGGCAAGGTAACTGGGACCAAGTGGTAGTTATCAAGTCTTTTGAATAGAAACTTCGCTAATAGATTTTATTATTTGTAACCGTGAAATATGCCACAAACATTTTCAGAGATTATCAGTCAAAACGTTTTTACAATTTACAATATACTGTTATGAAAATTGGGAAAGTTAATATTAGAAAATTCACTTTTGGAAAATTGTCTTAAAGTCAGAACTTTTTGTTGTGAATCTCAAGACGAAGTATTGACACGATGCACACTACCTACGGATTTATATTATTCCTCTTCGATATCCCCTGGTGGTCATAAACTGTAAGATAAAGGTTTGATCCTTCAATTAACGTTAATCAAGCCCTTATCTTCAAATGACATGTGAATCTTTACCACAAACTCTTACACCTTGGATAGTTCAAACTATGTTATTTGTTAAATGAAATACTCAAGTTTGAAATATCAAGTTGTAAAGATAGAGAAATTAGAAAATTTGAGTTTGTGGCAAAGACTCAATTCCATTAAAAGGACCCACATTTATATAGAGAAGCTTACAAGATTAATGACACTTCAATCAAAACTTCTGACATTTGGCGGTATACCATCACCACTAGGGTTTCCAACGCAAGTGGTTGCGCGCAATTGCAAGCCAGCTCGCTCGTCCATCTTTCTTGCGTTTGTGTTTCAATTTGTGAAAATATTTAAATCAGACCTGATGGAACGCAATAAATGAAATTAATTATTGCGCAATGGAGTTCTTAAAAAAAATCAATTTAAATCTGATCTATACTAACATTTCAGTCTAAATTGATGAGAAAATTAAATTTCAACTTTTATTTATAATATTCATGTACAGCATGATGATAACAAGAAAACTCTGGTAGAGGAAGACGACTTTAAGACTCTAAATTTTGATTAAATGGATCTTACGATTTTAACCAAAAATAATTGAATTGTTAATTAGTAGGTTAAACACAAAAAACTTGAAAAATTTCAATTAACCCTGGATTACTTTTTAATCTACAGAGATAATTTCTTTCCATTTACATTCTTGTGTCTTCTGCATACATTTGTAAGTCACATTCAAAAGTAATTGATTTTTAGATGGAAAAGCCTTTGCAAAGCAATTCCGATGCACGCAATTCCGCGAATATTTAATTGCTTCCTTGTTCACAATTATAGCGCAATTTCGTATAATGAAATGACGGAAACAATCATTACGCACAATTCTGCGAAACGGAATTTCGATTGGAAACCCTAACCACCACCCTGCACTACCACATCTTTATTTATTTATAAGTTTTCTGTTGAATTTGTTGAAGTAGGAAAATACTGAACCTGGCACTTGAAGCTGAGCACCCAATTCACAGAAGAACCTTTAAATTCATGAACCTGTCAAACTATTGATCTCTATACCCTATCAATTTCTCTTGACATCGAGGAGGGATAAATTGAATTGAGGGATCAAGCATTGATCCTCGTTTTTAAGAGTGTTTTTCTGTTCTAAAGGATTTTTTTCTCCAGTGTTAAATTTGTTGTTAAATAATACATTTGGACACGATATTTATTATTTATTGACAATAGAATACATACAAGGTTACCTAAACAGAATGAGACTTCAGATACGACTGTACGGAATTTATACTGTCTATTTCCCGTTTGTTTATGATTTCCTGGAACTGTAAACTTGTTTCTTTCTTTGCCCAATCATTAATAAGTCATTTACTTTTTAATTATGATATGTCATGATATAGTTGAAGAGTTTGGAAGGACGTCTTTACAGTCTCATCCTTTGTGGGCAACCCCCTGTACAGTGGACAATCAATCTTGGGGAATTATTATATATATATATATATATATATTTATGTTTTAGTATCTCCTGTTCACTATGATCCTGGTAACCTTCAGTGTAGTTGTCACCATCGGAGTTCTTAACGTAAACTTCAGAACTCCCGCCACCCACAAAATGGCGCCCTGGGTCCGGAAAACTTTCATAGATTTTTTGCCGCGCTATCTGTTTATCCAGCGGCCGGATCCGGATCCTGTGGAGGAAGATGAAAGAACCGAACTTTTAGGAGGTGATAATTCTTAACAAATTTTGCCCTTTTAATTCCGGTCAGTCCCACTGGAGAACTTTAACGCACAAACCGACATTCCCAAAGAAGCTTATCAGGCTATCAAAGCAGGATACAAATCAAGGCTATCCTGAAAAAATCCAATCCTCGATCGATGGATGAATAAGGTGAACTTTTCCCTATAAATCAGATAAATCTTTTTTCTATTTATTTAAAGATTTATGCGACCATGTAAGATCAGCAAATGCATTTTAATACTTTATGTTTAAATCCGTGATTAATTTGAGTTAAGCCATGAATAATTCCTCCGTATGTTAATGTTCTGATTGTCTGTGAACACTTTCGAGTTTTCCTATGCCCTTCAAGCCTTTCCCCCCAACTTCAAGCCTTTCCCCAAACTTTTGCATTTTATTTCATTTTTTTCACAGGTTTGAATCTAGTATTCCCGGAAACCCTGGAGGAACGGAACAGTGTTGAACGTCTACTAAACCATGCTCAATACGATGGAGGAGGTTTCAGGTTAGTTTAGTGTCATGTGGAAACAGAAACTGGTTAGGTTGGGACCCAGCTGAAACTATCCTGACTATTGTTAAGATTGGGACCCAGCGGAAATTATTCTGACTATTGTTAAGGTTGGGACCTAACGGAAGCAGAAACAATCTATTGTTAATTTTGGGACCTAGTGGAAAGGGAAACTATCAATTGTTTAGATTGGGACCAAACGGAAACGGAAACTATTTATTGTTCTGGTTGGGATCTAACGGAAATTGAAACTATCCTATCTGTTGTTCAGGTTGGGTCCTAGCGGAAACGGAAACTATCCCATCTGTTGTTCAGGTTGGGTCCCAGTGGAAACGGAAAATATCCCATCTGTTGTTCAGGTTGGGTCCCAGCGGAAACGGAAACTATCCCATCTATTGTTCAGGTTGGGTCCTAGCGGAAACGGAAACCAATCCCACATGATGCTACAGAATATTGCGCAGAACAATCAATTTAACGGAAAGGATAACGGACATCTTACCCTCAACAGTGTCAGGTTAAAGGGAAATGAAAGTGGGATAACTGCTTACAGCGAAAAATGATCGATGGTGATCGCTACTATTCTTAGTTTTATCTGTTGTGTCTATAAGGAGAAATTTGTTAAAAAACAACTTATACCGAAGAACGTAGCTTTAGGGTTTCCAACGTAATAGATTATTCTCTTACGCGTAATTACGTGCAGTTACGCGTAATAATTTTCATTTCGTGTAATTTCGCAGGATTACGCGTAATTGGGGAAATATCCATTTCGCGAAATTACGGCGTAATTTCGCGTAATTTCTACAGCGTAATTTCGCGAAATTTCGTAATAATAATGCGTAATAATGAAAACTATAATTACGCGTAATTACGGCGTAATTTCGCGTAATTTCTGGGGTTGAGTACATACTGTCCCGCTATAATTATTTCTGAGAATTAATATGTACTTTATTTAATACGGAATTGTTACGTAATACGTAATTTCGCGTAATTACGCCTTAATTACGCGAAACTAGACTTTCTTTCGTAAACGTAATATATGCGTAATTACGCGTAATGCTCCTGCGTAAGTGAAAGAAAGTGTTACGTTTCGTTACGCGTAATTACGCGTTACGAAATTACGACTGGAAACCCTACGTAGCTTCCATACAAATTCAAAAAGTTCCAACATACACCTCGGATCGTAAAAAAATCAATTTAATTCCAAACAAATCTTTCAGGTATTACAACCTATAACCATCGATAATTTTTCGACGCATTCGTATTTAGTTGATATTTCATAATATTTTTGATTTTGTTTTTTAATAATATTTAGCTTACAACTTGTAGCGCTGGATTTTCTACCATTCCTAGAAAAAATGAAAATGTCGTCTTCAATATCAAAAATCCTCGAAACATGAATAAATGTTTTCAAAAGTAGCTCTCAGATCATAATTTTTTTTTCAAATCTTATGAAATATAAACTATATACGAATGCGTCGAAAATTATCGATTATTATAGGTTGTATTAAAATAACTAATAACTGATTTGTTTGAAATTAAGTAATTCTTTTTCGATCCGAGTCGTATGTTGCAACTTTCTGAATTTGTATTGACGCTATACGCTCTTCGGTATAAGTAGTTTGTAACACGTTTCTCCTTACAGACGCAACAGATATAGTAAGATTAGTAGCGATCACCATCGATAGATTTTCGCGAACACTCCCTTTAAGATTAAAATTTTTTGTAAAGGGATTGTGTACGTTATTTTAGACGGAAATAAGTGCTCTTTAAAACTTTTCTTTAGAAAAACTTAAATGAAAAATATAAACGTTGTATTTATATAATATTCTTTTTTCGGTTCAAAAATCCCTATATCTTTTCAACCTAATGGTGTAAACCTTAGATATTTTAAACTTAGATTTTTTAATATAAAAAATCCATAATTTGAAATATCTCAGGTCTACGACATTAGATTTAAAAAAATACCGGGTTTAGAACATCAGAGTTTGTGGCAAACACTCAATTCCTTCATAGATTTTCTAAATTCCTTCTTATTTTCAGGTTTGATTCTGGGTTTCGTGATTATGGGGATCAGGAACCTCATCTAACCAGGGCAATCCATGCTGTTCAGTTTGTTGCCCAGCATGTGAAAAACCAGGATAGATATGATAAGGTCAGTTTATAAAATATATTTCGCGTATATATATAAAATATATGTATAAAAAAGATTCTAGAAATATTAACTTTTACTGTAGTAGATCAGACCTTCTAGTTTTATTCTTTCTTTAGTTCAATTTTATTCAGACATCTATCTAAGTATTTACTTTCAAATATTTCTAATATCTTTTTTACTACTCATAGACTCTATGAAAAATAAACTTTACTTACTTATCCAATAGTTTATTCACAAAGGTTGGTCAAAGAGTAAAGTATAATGAAAAATACAATGTTTATATATGGTTGAGAAATTACAATGATGCCTCTCTTGCGCAGACGAAAGGGTTTGTCTGTACAGCCTGAAGAGGCCTAGAAATCTTTTTTAGCATCAATGAAAGGGTTCAATACACAGTGAAAGTTAAGACGTTATAGTTTCTTTTTGAAAAAGAGGATTTTAATGGTTATTTTTAGTTATTTGATGAAGCAAACCAAAAGTTAGGCAATGAATAAGTTTTTACTAGTTATTTTTAGTTATTTGTTGTACATTTGAATTATGGGTACATTTTTATCATCATATAGCAACATCTAAAAATGTCACAAATATAACTTTGGTTCAAACACAGACCAAGCAATCCAATGCAGGATATGAAAATCGTTTTGTTTGAACTTAAAATTCAAATTTAAATTCAAAGTTAAATGAGTGTACGTCGCATTTGACAATTTTTCAAGTCGCAACTTCCCAAATGTGTAATATCCCAAGCAGCAACTTACCAAGGTGAGACTAGACCTTCTGAGTCCCCGCAGGCTGCAGTGGGGGGTGGGGCGCTGCGGTTAGGGCAGACTTTTAAAGTTGCCGCTTTGAGAAATTGCACATTTGGGAAGTTGTCACTTTGGAAAATACCCTTGGGAATTATACCTCTTTGGGAAAATGTTTGGGAAAGTACCTAGCATACTTTCATTTATATTTCTAATTATTACTATAAAGTACCTAGCATACTTTTATTTATATTTCTAATTAATACTATAAAGTACCTAGCATACTTTTATTTATATTTCTAACTATTACTGTAAAGTCTAATGATAACTGAAAATAATAATGTTGGAAGCTGTAGGGATTGTATGAGGGAAAAGTGGGGGGGGGGGTGGAGTAAATAGCAAATGATTGTTCTATGAATGCCTCTTATTGTTCTACCCCCGCCTCACTTACATCGAGATACTTAATATTCATCTCAACATCTTAATTCATCTTCTTCTACATCTACAATTCTCTTTCTACAATCATTTCCTCACTCTTATAAATCTCAAATTGGGCCAACATTTTGTGTTAGAAATTGTGTTCCAAGGGGTGGGCTCTGAATATAAAAACAACAAATTCAAGGGACTGCCTAGTGCCTGCATGGTTTTAAGTTATTCGCAAATGTTTTAAGTTTAATTCCCGATTTACTACGGTACCTTTTAAACCTTTATCTGAGCAGCAATAAGAAATTTCTTCATTTTCTTTTGCGTAAAATCTGCAAATAACTTTCTAGAAAAACCAAAATTTGAAAATAATTAGTTTTTAGTTAGATTATATTATAATAACAAAAAGAAGAATGTTTGAAGAGCAGTAAGCCAAAATCAGCAATATGTAAATGTTTTGCAATGTTAAGTTTTATCTTGCAAAAACTGTAAATCTTTATTTACCTCAGTTTTGCATTAAATTGGTTGCAATTTTATATCCTTCTCGAATCCTGCATTCTCTCAGAGCCTCAGGGTCGTTTATGCAAATAAATAGATTTATATATCTAGTAAAATATATTTATATATCTAGTAAACTATATTTATATATCTAGTAAACTATATTTTTATATTTAGTAAACTATATTTATATAACTAAAGGTTTATAGATAAAGTTTTTTGACAAAAAAATACTTGTTATCGTAATTAAAATTTTTAAAGTTCACAAAAAAAATGGAATCCAACTTCAATTAAATCAATGAAAGATCTTTACAAATGGACAGAATTTAATTTTATCTCAATTTTTTCACTTAAACTTTCTGTAAGTCTGAGGCTCTGAGCTTCTGTGTCGCAAAAAAAAGGAATATAAAGAAAGAAAGATAGAAAGATAGAATTCAGGATATATTGAATACGGTTGCCCATGGTTTGTCACTGGTTTGGCAGATTGCCAAATTGGAACAGATTTGTCACAATTTCTCCAGGTTACAATGATTCATCTGGTCAGGGGGTGGGATCAGACATCATGTAATTTTTTGGTATTATACCTTCTTGTTTTCAAGATGGTGGGAAAGTGTTCAACCTTTTCATTCAAAAATTAATTTTAAATTAACATTTCTTCTTTAAAGATTTTTATATTTTTAAACTTCTTTTTTATTTCTAAGGGAAACTCTCCATTTTGCATTTTTTTTTCGGAAAATTCAACAGTATTTATTTTCTCAAATAGAAACCGGTTTTTGGCGGATTTTAGAGGCGGCTCAAATTCATGAAATTCGGGCACCGGTTGTATTTATCTGTTGCTTTCAGGAAACCAAACTAAAGCCAAATTTTGAATTGCCATTTGTTTTATATATTTCTGCTAATTCAATCTTCTGTTTTGCAACGTTCTTTATTTTTTCTTGGACTTCTTTTATTCTATTTCAATTTTGTCTTTCCCAATTTTTTACTTGGTTTCAAAATGCAGTTTCTTTAATACTTCATCACAGAAATTTCAATTTCCGTTTTTCTCCAATAGGTGTCTCTGAGGTTCCTTTCTATTATGCACTGCCTTAACTAAATCTTTTTTATTTGCATCCTTATTGATAAAAATGACAATTTCTGCGGATTCCCAGGAAAATTTTCTCGGAATTTCTGCGGATTTTCCGCAAAATTGTTACTTAGGATGTTGTGTGTTCAATAACCAATATATTCTCACCTGCTGCAGGAAATGGTTGAAAGTTTAAGATAATGTTTTCTATATTATCTGTCCCTTGAGTATACAAGATTAAGCAGAGGTGATAAGGACAGCGGATAAAGGTTAAGGGTTAGAGGATTACACAGAATATTTATCATATGCGATCCATCTTTATGTAAGCGTACTGCGTAATAAACTTATAGGATAGTAATAAACGCTTTTTGCTTGTTTGTATGTCCGATCATAATTCAGGAACCCCTTCACCACAGATTTGCCTCAAAGTTAGATTGGGTAACTCGGAAAAACTCTAAATTGAGTGGGTTTGTTTTATTTTTAAGGAAAACTTTGGTTTCAGGCAAATTTGGGTTCCTAAGCTAGTGATTGCTAAAATTCGAATATAAATTATATTATTATTTTATTATTAATGATTCATTCACACACATTGATATACATACATATTACATATTACGTTTTTTTTTAAATATAGGAATGATATAAGAAGTATTCTCTATCATAATCGCTAATTTCATAAACCTGCTATTTCAAAGAAAGTCATGACTTTTGATAATTAAACATTTTCAGGAATAAATTCATTGCACTTAAATATGTTGATTCAGGAAAATTATAAAATTTTAGTTAGAATAAAAAAGTAAGTAATATCTACAACAAGTCAGCTCATAATTGAAGCACATTCTAACTGCATATAGACATATTAATGCCCGTAATGGGTGTAAATCAAGTCTTAATGTTTCTCGTAGACTTGACATCCACACTAAGCAAAGGGTGTAAACCTATTCTCTATGTTGCAGGTAGATTTGACATCTACATTTCGAACTCATCAAAGGGTCTAATCCAATTCTTGTTTCTAGTAGACTTTTAACATCTATAATAATCAAAGGCTGTAATCCCAATATCGTTGTTCTAGTAGACTTGACATCCACAATAATCAAGGGGTGTAAACCCATTCTCGATGTTTCTAGTAGACTTGACATCCACATTAATCAAAGGGTATAAACCCATTCTTGTCGTTTCTAGTAGACTTGACATCCACATTAATCAAAGGGTGTAAACCCATTCTTGTTGTTTCTATAGTACACTTGACACCCACACTAATCAAAGGGTGTAAACCCATTCTTGTTGTTTCGATAGTACACTTGACATCCACACTAATCAAAGGGTGTAAACCCATTCTTGTTGTTTCTATAGTACACTTGACATCCACACTAATCAAAGGGTGTAAACCCATTCTTGTTGTTTCGATAGTACACTTGACATCCACACTAATCAAAGGGTGTAAACCCATTCTTGTCGTTTCTATAGTACACTTGACATCCACACTAATCAAAGGGTGTAGACCTATTCTTTAAAGATTGTAAACAAGACTCGGTAGTCTGTTTACAGGGTTCACACTGTACAGTGAATGTACAATACTATGCATAGATACTGGTCTTTATACTCTTAATGTACATTAATGTACTTTATGTACAGGTTGCCGATGATTGGAAGTATGTTGCTATGGTTTTGGACAGAATTCTGCTCTGGGTGTTTAGCTTCGGTAGGAAACTTTTTAAATTCTCTTGAAGTGTTACTGGTTAAGACTTAAAATGACTTGGAATCCTGCACCTATCCAAAGGTGAAGAATTTACTTTCAAAATAACCATGGGTATTTGTCACGCCATTGGAAGTTTTTAACTAGAAATTTCACGGATTTCTTTTAAAACCTCTCTTTCAAAATTTTTAAAAGGTTAAACTGTAACATTTGACTGACCTAAGTTCAACACCCTTATAGATCTCACTCCAAATTACAATGATGAATAATAACACTATTTATGCAAATGAAAATGCAAATTTTCCTCTCCAGAGTTGGCTAAAACTTCTGACATGAATTAAATTTGAAACTTTAACAATGTTTTGTTTGCCTAGCTTGCGTTGCGGGAACTGGAGGAATTATTTTTGTGGCACCAAGTCTTTATGATACTAGGGAGCCATTGGATGTTCTCGTTTCTAAGGTAAACTTTGATGTTGATGTTGATGTTGATGTTGATGTTGATGTTGATGTTGATGTTGATGTTGACGTTGATGTTGATGTTGATGTTGATGTTGATGTTGATGTTGATGTTGATGTTGATGTTAATGTTGATGTTGATGTTGATGTTGATGTTGATGTTGATGTTTTTATTGATGTTGATGTTGATGCTGATGTTGATGTTGATGTTGATTTAATGCTGATGCTGACATTGATGTTGATGTTGATCTTGATCTTGAAATTGATCTTATCTTAGGTTGGAAAGAAGAACACAATACTGCCACCACCCTTTCTTCTCTCTGAAAGTTTCAACATGGCTTATTAAAAATTCATTTCAAATCAGAACTTAAAATTGTTTAAGCCATAGAGTGTCGAAAAAGGAAGCTTTAAGATAATAATTGTCACATTCTTGAATTTTGAAAGATACATTATTTAAGGAACTGAGTTCTAGTCACAAACTCTAATTTTCTAATCCCTACATCTTTGCAACCCAATGTCATAGACCTTTGATATTTCAAACTATGAAATCTCTTAGATCAAAGAATCTAAGTCTGAAATATAAAAGGTTCACAACATCAGGTTGTAAAGATATAACGATTAGAAAATTTTAGTTTGTGGAAAAGACTCAATTCCTTTTGAGAGATGACGTTATAAATGAGTCTGTGGCCAGCTTGTTCACTTATGTTTTGGATTAGACAAGTTGCAAAAAATGTCTCAAAGATTTTTCTATCACGTCTCAAATCAAAACAATTCGAACATTTCACCATATCCTTTAGAAAACATGATGTTAGAACGGGAGTTTGTTAAAGAACAATGACGAGAGAGAAAACAAAAATGAAAAAAGTGTTTTTTAAGATAATCTATAACAGTTAATAAATATAAAAGCTAAATTTTTTGCAGTTTTCTTTAAAAAACATCAAACTTAAAAACTATATGTACAGGGTGTCCCAGAAAACGGTTTCTAAGGTACTAGAGCTCTCATGATAGTTAGATTTTTGCAAATAGATTCCAGTACAATAGATGGCAACGTAGTATTAGACACTCTCAGAACACCTGTATTCTGTATATTATGCAAATAGATTCTAGTACAATAGATGGCAACGTAGTATTAGACACTCTCAGTACACCTGTATTCTGTATATTATGCAAATAGATTCTAGTACAATAGATGGCAACGTAGAATTTGTACACTCTCAGAACACCTGTATTCTGAGCAAATAGATTCTAGTACAATATATGGCAACGTAGAATTTGTACACTCTGAGAACACCTGTATTCTGACGTCACAAGTGCCAACTCATTTTTTATGTCCGACAAAATTATTAATGATAGTGATAATTTTTAAATTAAGTGCTTATCTTACAGTAAAATAAGAGCAATTTTATGTGTTCTTTCTTTTCTGCTTATACACTTTTTACCTAATCTTGGAAAACGTGTATAAACATGTGAGAAGATATCGTTTTCTTTGTTATAATTGACATTTGTAACGTCGTGTATAATTGGTCCATTTCTCTGTTGCCACCTATTGTACTTAATAATAATCTATTTGGATTTTTGGATTTTTGAACATTTTCAATTCTTCTAAACGTTTACTATCAGTGGAGCACAAAATTTTAGAAAGTTATGCCAGTTTTAAGTTGCAAAATAAAGTTCAGAAATGGATCCTTAAAAATGGAAACATTTTCAATAAAATTACTATTATAGAAACATGGATCAGTGAAAATAAATATGCTAGTTTCTTTGGTTTAAAAAATTGTTAAAAAATAACATAAATCACAACATAAACTTTGAACTGTCATAATTTTCTCGATTCTTGTATCACCTTAAAGGACTGTAAAGGAAAAATGAAAGGGGGTATAGGTTGAAACCTGAGAATCTCAGGAGTGGATTGAGACCTATAAGAGTTCTATCTGATGTTCCAGAGATTTTCAGATTTCAGCCCCCTTTCAGTTTCCTTTACAGTCCCTTTAAAGAGCGTTTATTGAACACTCTGCACATGCTATGAAAAGATACCGGTTACGGTACCTTTGTAAATCGGACATGATCCTTTTTAGATAAAAGGACGCTTGAAGATTACAACGCGCGACAAATCAAGGCGAAATAAGCATTATGCAAAAACAGCAAGTAACGGATTGCGTTTTTCTTATTGTTTTTTTTGCAATTTAGTCTTGAAAGGTTTTACGTTTATCTATATATAAATTTGGCTTGTCTGTCTGTTTGTCTGTCTGTTTGTTTGTATCCAATAAACGTCAAAACGGCTGAACCGATCGGGCCCAATTTTTTTGTGGGACCTCACGGAGCCCCAGGGAAGGTTTATGAATGGTTGAAATTTTAAATATTTGTCTCCATCAAAATTCGATCTTTATTAAATTTTTGAAAATTTTGAAAATCCACGAAATTTTTTGTGAAAATCCGCGAATTATTTTTGTTTTGTTTTACGATTTACACAAAGAGAACATGTTCACAATTAATTTTGAAGATGGGCGCGAAGCGCCCTCTAAGGCTAGTGTCTTATAAAAGTCTTGAAATATGCTGAACGTAAAACAGAAAAGGTTTAAAAACAACCATAAAAACGATCATTATCTTAAATTAGCTTATAAATTGATTCATGCCACGTAAAATTTTGGCATTGCTTTTATTCAAGTATTCAATATCAAGTATCCATGCGAAAAATTCAAATAATGTTTGTTTGATAGTGTTACAAAATCATATGTTTTACAATAAATTCGTTCTCCTATTTTAGGTTAGTCTGACAAATGTCTTAAAATCTGATACTACTCTTAAAAAAAAAACGAAAAAAGTTGAAAGTTTTAAATCAAACCTAAATCGATGTTCATCTCTAATAATAAACATAGTAATGATAATTTTTTTCAAATCTATATTTTCAATTCATGATTTTAATCATTAAAGAAAAAATAAATCCAAATTAAAATGTTGGCAGCTCACAATTCATCCAATTTACCAAGTTAAGTTGAGTATTAAACCAGTTCTTTATCCTTCTTCTTAAACAGAGCTTGGATCTCCGATATACTCTTATCATCTGTATCTGGCAGAAACCTGGACAAACCAAACCAAATTAGATGGAAAGGAGCAAATAAAACTGTTGAATAGAATCTATAGTTTACTTGAAGAAAAGTGAAATCAAACCCAACTAAAACCCAGTATTTGAAATAAATCATGATAGGGGTATATTGTCTGGGGGGGGGGGGAATTAAACAATTGTTTATTTAATGTTAATTGTTCTATCAAAAATTACAAATCAAGGGTTACAGTGGTCTTCATTTTCTAAAATATTTTGCAATTCTTATCTTTTAGATTTCTTTTCGAACCTTTCTGAATGCTCAAAGATCATAATTCTTTTTTGAAACTTTTAGGATGATTTACTTGTGTCCAAGTTATACATATTGAACTAAATTTTCTGATGTATTATCTTTTAGGAATTTAACCAAGAAAAGTTATCCTCATATCTTTCTTTGTGTTTGTTTTCAAAAGTTAAAACAATAACCAAATTATAATAACCAAATTACTGGAGTTATATAAGAGTTTCTTAATAAAATATTGACATTGTTCTACAACTTACTTGAATACAAACAACCCAGCAAGAATGATTGCAAGAGCATGACCCATGAACATGATTGGAGTTCCAATGACATCAAGAATATCTGGATAAACCTAAAGAAAAAATGAAATATTTTGGTCTATTGAAATTGTTTTAAACCGTTACTATACAAAGTTAATCTGTCCTAACATTGAGATCTATCTTAAAGGGACTGTAAGCGTAATCCAAGTATCCATCTCTACTAAGATCTCAATGCCCGATGTACAACGATATTCATTAAATAACCGAGGCCAGATAACTTTGTGCTTTTATTTCTCAAATGCTTTTCGAATTTCTGAAGAACAGGAGTGTACGCCAGCGTACAGTGTGAACTCAACACAACTGACTTTACACGTACATGTACCAAAGAATAGAAGTGTACGCCAGCGTACAGTGTGAACTCAACACAGCTGATTTTACACGTACATGTACCAAAAATTCTATATTCATAGCGGTTGTAAAAAATTTGAATGTAAAACAATAATCCCTTCAGGTATCAAGGCATATCCAGTTCAATATTTGGAATACTCTCACAGAATTGGGTTATGAGTAATGAAAGATTCCTATTCGTGGGTATTCCGCTTCTATATCCGTCCTATTGGTCGGCAATTGTAAATCCAGCTAATCAGTAGTTGGATTGGCAGTTGGAGTCATTAATATGTAATGAATGAATGGGTGCTTCTAAATATGTGTAGAACAAAGATAAATAAACAATTGGATGTAGTTTAATATTGATTGCAGATATTCCTTCAATAAAATATGTTCAACCTTTAATACTATGGCTGTGACAATCATTCTTGTTGATTCTGCAGAAGCTCCTCCAATACTCTTATCTTCAGGAGCTAGTAGCTCTCCAGGGATAGTATAGGTTACACTACCATATCCAGCTCCATATCCTGTATATACACCTCTTATACTCTGGAGCTAGTATCCAAATCCTGTATTATATACACCACTTATACTATGGAGCTAGTATCCAAATCCTGTGTTATATACACTTCTTATACTCTGGAGCTAGTATCTAAATCCTGTATTATATACACCTCTTATACTCTGGAGCTAGTATCCAAATCCTGTATATACATCTCTTATACTCTGGAGCTAATAACCATACCCTGTATTATATACATTTCTTATACTCTGGAGCTAGTAACCATATCCTGAATTATTATATTTACCTCTTATACTCTGGAGCTAGTAACGATATCCTGTATTATTATATGCCTCTTATATTCTGGAGCTAGTAACCATATCTTGTATTATTATATACACCTCTTATACTCTGAAGCTAGTAACCATATCCTGTATTATATACACCTCTTATACTCTGGAGCTAGTAAACATATCCTTTATTATTATATACACATATCCATATATTTTATTTTGTCTCTCAATTTCAATGTTTGTTGGACTCAGAATTAATATTTAAGTTTAACCTGACATCAGACCAAACACTCCAATCGAAAATAGGATCTAAATAAATAAATATAAAATCTTTTTGTCCACATTTAAAGAATATTCAAATCGAAATTATTAGATAACTAGAAATTCAAGGCGCTTTGCACCCTTCTTCTATTTAAATTAAACACGTTTTTTTTGTTTACATTTTAAAACAAAGAAAAAAAGAATTTTGCGGATTTAAAAAAAATTGAGTGTTTGTATTCAATAATCGTCTAAAATGCTGAACTGATTTGGTAAAAATTTGGGACCTGTCATGACCCTAAGGAAGGCCCATCAATATTTAAATTATACTCATGAAAAAATATAAAATTAACATTAACTAAAATAGCAAATTATGTATTGCTATTATTTTAAAATGTACAAAAAAGCAAGGCTTATAGATTAATCAGCAACAGACAGTAATATAAGAAAGAGGGGAACAAAGCTCTCTTGAAACCTTGTTGTTTCAAATCTATAAAGTTGTTAATAACCTGAGAACATAGTTTGTAAAAACTCTCCGCTTGAGAAAGATCCTTCAGGTAATAGGACAACGATATCAAGCCTTAAATCAAATATGTCACAATAATCTCAGTTGAAGGAGATGATTCATTTGGTATGCAGTGCCGTTTTATCCGTCTTTAGAATATATGTAATACTACTGTACACGGTACAACTTGTCAGGCCGATACTTCAAATAAACCGGAGTTTACAGAGATAAAAGCTTTTCACAGAATCCGGGTTTTTTAATTGTGAAAATATTGATTTCCATTGAAAATAAGTTTTATTAAATCACTGCCTACAGCTGGCTAATCTATTAACGTTGTATTCAAAAGTTGTCTGATTAAATGGGGGAAAAAGATGTATGGGTTACCACAAACCATACTTTCTTAATTTTTGTATCTTTGCAACCCGATATTGTGGACCTTTGATATCTAAAACTAAGAATTCTGTTAAATCAAAATGTGTATAGTTCAAATTTCTAAGGCTTACACTATATCAGGCTGTAAAGATATTGTAAGCAGAAAACTTGAGTTTGTAGCACCATGAACAATCGTAGACAAAAATTAAAATCATGTAACGTGTATATAAACATTAAACAATGATACCTGCTGAAAAGGCCATGATGCTAGCAGCCAAAATAAACTGATTCTTCTTCTTCAGCTTTTTTGCAATAAAAACACTAGCTGTATAACCAACTGCAGATCCTACACAACAAAATATTTGCTATTGGATGTTTAAAAAAATCGAAAAAAAAATAAAAAATTTTACAGACACTAACATTGACACAGCGGGGGAGGCTGATTTAGGATAGAGAATCTAAATGGTAAGTAGATCTAAAACTTTCAATCTGGAAGAGTGATGCGAACTGCAAAGCCCCTAGAAAGACTTTTACCAAGTTCTTTTAAAGTGACCCTCTATTTTAATACAGTGAAACCCTTAAAAACGAATACATCGGAAGAATTTATCAAATGTCGTCTTGACAATTTTTTAATGAGTTTAATACTATATTACGTAAATTTCAGTATTTGCGAAAATAAATAAATAGCCATGAATATGCAGGAACAGTTTTAAAGAGTTCCATATAATCATTTAATTAAAAAACTAAATATCTGCAACATTCCATTATCAGAAAGTGAAGAATACGACATTTGATGAATTCTTTCGATGTATTCGTTATTAAGGGTTTCATTGTAGTTAAATGCCCAATTTAAAACGGTTCATTTGAAATCTTGGTCAATGCAAAAATTGTGACTATTTTTTTTTCTACTGAAAATCAATGGCTTTAAAGGAATTGAGTTTTTGTCACAAACTCTGATTTTACTATCCCTATATCTTTGCATTTCAATGTCAGAGACCTTAGATATTTCAAACTATGAATTATTTCAGATCAAATACTAATAGTTTGAAATATCAAAGGTTAACACCATCAGGCTAAAAAGATATAGCGATTTGAAAATCAGAATTTGTGGCTAAAACTCAGTTCCTTTCAAGGTAGAAAAAACAGTTTTACTCTCATTCATGATTAATAAAAGTTTCCAGGGTACAGTTGTAAATTAGACATCAAATAAAGAACACTTACTTCAACGTCCCTTTAAGTGTATTTTTATGTTTATTACTTACCAGTGGGGATGAAAAGCATGAGGATCTGGAATGGAATAGTAAATCCAAATTCAGCAAACATACTGTAATAATGCCAGGAACTCATTTTTTAGACTTTGAAATCTTTTTTAAAATAACGTAAATATTATGTTGGTTCGTGGAAGACACACTTAAAAATATAGAGAATCTCATTTTGCTTTTTTTAGTTAAAACTGTACTTGTTGTATGTACTGTCTATTGCACACTTTTATTCAAAACTGTTTTTTTTTAAATATGAATAATTGGACAGTTCTTTAAAAAATACATAATACTCAAAAGAAATAGGACATTCCTTGGTCCATACAAGTTTATGGGTGCATCTATTCCACACAGTCCTTAAATCAGAAAACTTCTTCAATAGAAATCTTATTTTTGAATCTATATCTTAAGTGAACAGTGGCCGAATTTAAAGAATTTGAGCGGCGGTTTAAATTTGAGCCGCGACTTAAATATGGTTGGTTCCACTTAAAATCGTATCAAATGTTTCAAGATTTAAGTCGGCGCTTAATTTAAACCGGGTTTTGACAGATTTAAACCGCGGCTTAAATTCCATCTCAGATTATTTGCTGCACAAACTCTGATTTAAACCTGATTTCAGAACTTCAAACTTAAACTGAATTTGATGTTTGATACATTTAAGAACTACGCCATAAGGTTTCAAAGAGATTAAGATTGGAATATTAGATTAAAAGAGAATAGAATATATATTAGAGTGGAATTTACTAGAAAAAAGTGTAAAACGGCCATTTTGTTGTACTGTTTCCATACTGCAGGTGTACTTCACATATTTGTTCTATATATAACCTTTTGGGCCCTGGAACATCATTTTATAGAAAATCTAAAATTAATATTAAAAGAAAATAAAATTATGAAATAGGCTGGTTTCATAATTGACCAATGACCATTTCACATAGACTCTATGCCTTTCAATTTACAAACGATGATTTTCCGTTATAACTATAAATCAAATGATGTTTTTTATTCACGTACCTAATTCATTTTATCAAGTTTATTTAAAAGCTTTAAAAAATTCGAAATTAAAATGGATAGTCTAGGGAACATACTGTATTAATGTACTCTACTGCATATAATTTGTGAACATTTACAAGATTTGTACACTTTGAACTCTCTTTCAGGCTGAAAGGGACTGACAAATTCATACCGAGAGATTGTCTAAATTCCACTCTAATATATATTCTATTCTCTTTGATTAGATTTTGTGGCCGATAATTAGTTTCATTACTGTTTTAAATTCATTAAATGAAAACAAAAATATTGATTGTTTTTAATTATCATTTATTAGAAAAAAGATCTATTGATCGATTGAGATTTTGGTGGGATTAATGAGGTAGCAGATAATTTATTTGATAATAGTAAGCTTACCAATTGATCCAAACATGGTCATTATAATACCCAAGGGTATTAGAAACTGGCGTGAAGTCCAACGTTTCATGCAGGACTAAAAAAACTAAATTAAACCCTGTAGTGCTATTTGGGATTTATTCCTTGCTGTAGATATACTTCTTTCTGATTTGAACATTTATTTCAAGTATTTTTTAATTTAATTCTTAATTTTCAAAATTGTCTGCTTTATGTGAATGAAAATATAAGGTTTATAGGTTTACCTTGTTATTTGAGTTTTCATCAGTAACTGCCAAAACCTCTTTGAGCTCATGTTTTATTCCAACATAGTCAGGTCCTCTCAGTACCCTGAGGTCAAAACTTTTGAATTTTTTAATATCTTTATAACCGCGCTAAGTCGGATTCCCTTCCCCTTGTTAGTCGTTAAGCACGGCAGCCATTCTTTGATAATCTATGGATGGTTTTTCGTATATCTATATAATAAAGCTATTCACTCATATTATGTTAACTTGTTAAGCTATAGCTGGTCAAACGACTGGACCATATTGACTGATTTATTTTAGGAAACTCATGGCCATCCTGAAATTTGATATTAAAAACATAGTCTTGAAATTAGAAGTTCACTCTGCAGATATCGAGATAAGTCTATGTGGCTTAACGTTTTAGCTTCTTAATTGCATAACATTTTTCTTTTCTTTATTTTTATAAATCAAGGAAGGTCATAAACACCTCAACATTTTTTCAGCTTCATCCACCTTTCCGTGCCTAAAAATGGATGAAAATTACTAAATATTGACGGTCATCTTAGTTTGGTAGAATATAATCTGAAAGTTTCAGAATATAAATATAAAATAGCTTTTACTCTTTAAAATGTAATATAAACCTAAACTAAGTAATACATTCATGATGTACATTCATAAATATGAATTGAAACTTCAAAATGCATTTGAACTTTTCTTAAAAGAAGCATTAATTATAAATTATATGGATTTGACAGACTTTTTGCTTTTTTTACGTGTACTTCTTTTTTTCATTTTAAGAAAAATATTTTGTTGATGTATGTGCCTTAATGTTGACCTGACAAGCCAGTGTGGAGAATAAACGATGAAAGGAGAGCAGAGAAGGAAGAGCAGAGAAAGAGTAATACCGTGGAATAATAAATATTGTGGTGGTATTATCATATTCATTCCATACAGAAGCTAATAATAGAATAAGAATATTACATATTTTCTATATATATAAAATTGCAATTTCTGTTTGGGTGTCTGTCTGTTCGACTTTAATATCGAAAATTTAATGTTCTGGTAAAATCGTTCAATTGCTCGTAAACTGCGAGAGTAACTTTTAGCAGCCTGGCCGGCGCTGGGTTTCCAAACTAGAATAATCTGCACTTGATAAAGGTGAATCGTAGAGAAAAAAATAAGTAAGGCCGTCAAAGAAAGTGTATTGGATTTTTGTTTCACATACTAATTTTAGAATACAGAATTATAAAATGAATTCATAATAATCTCCTTTCAACAAGAGAAAATGGGGATAGTGAGAGCTCACTGACTTTTTAATATAATCAGAGGTCAGAACTTTTGTGTAGATAATCTTTAATCTTTAAAGTTTGATATTTATATCCAATCAGAACACTTTTATATTTTAGGATAAATGCTTGATTTCTCAATGAAAGTTATTCCTGTAGATTATGAACACAATAGAATATCAAAGAGGAATCAAATTAATCGGCTGGATAGTGGATATGAGTATCAGTGCTTGATCCCGAGATTTAATACAACTTCAGTAGATCTTTATTGCCGAGGGTCATAGAGTATTTATGATTTTTATAAAAAAAAATATTATGTATAAACTATATTTGCTAGATCGGTTTCAAAATCTTGTTATTTAACACTTATATTGTAATGACTAAAAATAAAAAAATCGGTTCACACAAAGTATAAAGACATAGTGATAAAAAATGTATTTATAAATCTTAAAAATTATTTACCAACATTCCATAATTTTGACAGAGATTGTTCAAATTTGCAAGAACTAAAAAAGTGAAAAATTTATTTTTATATAAAGAAATTATGAAGAGTTATTAAGAAGAAACTATAGAAGAAAAAGAGAAAAAATAATTCACTGATTTCTTAAAGGGAGTGTTCGCGAAAAATGAAAGGGGGTATAGGCTTAATGCGATAAAAAAGCGCTTTTGATTGCTACTCATCTTACTTCTATCTGTTGCGTCTATAAGGAGAAAATTGATAAAGACGTCTCATATCGAAGAGCGTAGCGCCCATACAAATTGAGGAAGTTGGAACATACGACTTAGACCGTAAAAAAATCAAATTAATATCAAACAAATCATTCAGATATTACAACCTATAGTCATCGATTATCTTTCACCACATTTGTCTATATTTAATATTTTATACTAGTTTTGATTTTGTTTTTTAAAATAATATTTAGCTTACAACTTGTTTTCGAACATTCCTGGAAAATATGAAACTGTCGTCTTCCTTACCAAAAATCCTCGCAACAGGAATAAACGTTTTTATAAGTAACTCTCAGATCATAACAATTAAAACATATTATGAAAAATCGACTATATTTAAATGTGGCGAAAGATAATCGTTGTAATATTTGAATGATTTGTTTGAAATTAAATTGATTTTTTTACGGTCTAAGTCGTATGTTGCAATTTACTCAATTTGTATGGACGCCATGTTATTCGGTATGAGACGTCTTTAACAATTTTCTCCTTATAGACGCAACAGATGGAAGTAAGATTAGAGGCGATCAAAAGCGTTTTTTTATCGCATTAAGCCTATAACCCCTTTCATTTTTCGCGAACACTCCCTTTAATGACTAAGTATTATTTTTAGTAAATCCCTTAAAAGTAAAGATTTTAATGGGAAATCTATAAAGCAAAGATTTCTGATAAAATCTTTCTAAAAATTCTAGAAAAAGTAAAATTTGACCTCCTCTTAGTTTTATAGTAGATATTTCGCTTGCTAGAGTATAGGGTAGGATCACTCCTAAAATATATTTAGCTCATGAATAATTATTTACAATTTACTATTTGAACAGAATATCTATAGAATTTAAAAAAACTAAATCCTTTTTCTAGTTCAAACCAGATTAGTTTGACCCTATATCTAGGGAAGGAGATTTAGACAATGACACACAGATTTAGATGGAGTTAGAACTTTAGCAGTTGCTACAAATGTTTATTTTCGAATCCCTATACTTTTTTAACCTAATGGCGTCAATCTCGGATTATTTAAATCTCACAAAATTCTTATTTTGAAATATAAAATTGCTATGACATCAGATTCAGTTCATTTTCTGTTTTTCTTGACTATGTCCCAACTCTTAAAAGATTTATGATGCATCAAGCAATAATTGTTATCAGTTTGAAAAAATAGTATATCTTTTAGACAACAATTATCAAAAAAAAAAACATTTAAAAGTTTAATGTAGCGTTATTAATAGCATAAAAATTTCGGTAATGGGTATATGTTTCCAAATATTTATTTATTATTCAAATTCTATGCTAGCTTTTTTTAAGTTGTGGCAACATTTTTACGGAAAAGGAAAAATAAATCATTTTAAATAATATTGTTGGCCAGTGCAAAAAAGAAAACTTTAAATCTGAAAAATATCTCAGGTTATCCTGTGGGGCCTCTTAAAAATGCAAAAAAAAACTTAGATTTTTAAACCGTTCATCTCCGCTTAAAAACATGATATTACCTACACCAGCTGAGAAACCATTGATTAACCAGCCGACAAGAAGAATTGAGTAGGAATACCCAAACAACATGATTATACAAGATCCAATATGCAGGACGTGAGCCAGGATCAATCCACGCTTCCTAATCAAATATTATTATACAAGATCCAATAAGCAGGACATTGGCCAGGATCAATCCACGCTTCCTAATCAAATATTATTATACAAGATCCAATATGGCCAGGATCAATCCACGCTTCCTAATCAAATATTATTATACAAGATCCAATATTCAGGACGTGGGCCAGGATCAATCCTCGCTTCCTAATCAAATATCATTATACAAGATCCAATATGCAGGACGTGGGCCAGGATCAATCCTCACTTCCTAATCAAATATTATTATACAAGATCCAGTATGCAGGACGTGAGCCAGGATCAATCCACGCTTCCTGATCAAATATTATTATGCAAGATCCAATATGCAGGACGTGAGCCAGGATCAATTATAGCTTCCTAATCAAACATGATTTTACAAGATCCAATATGGAGAATATGGGCCGGGATCAATTATAGCTTCTTAATCAAACATGATTTTACAAGATCAAATATGGAGGACATGGGCAGGGATCAATTATAGCTTCCTAATCAAACATGATTTTACAAGATCCAATATGGAGAATATGGGATCAATTATAGCTTCTTAATCAAACATGATTTTACAAGATCAAATATGGAGGACATGGGCAGGGATCAATCTGTGCTTCCTGATCAAACATGATTATGACCTTTGTGTTAAAAGAAAAAATTTTATTTTAAGGTTGAATTTGATGGCTAAGCCAGATGATGGCTTTGATATTTAAAACAAACTAAAAACATGAACGTATATTTGTTCTTTTTCCATCCAAGAACAACCATTAGTTATTTACTAACGAGGAAGCATTATAATAAATCGAAAAATAGAAAAATATGAAATAGATTTTTATTCAACAAGGGCAAAGCCATGGCAAAACTGAAAACACTGATTACAATTAACAGACTTTTGACAACCTAAACGTATATAATTGAACTTAAATTTCTGTTTTTTGCTAAAATTTTGCTCAAACGTTACTTGAATTAAAAAAAAGATTTAAAGTTGAGAAACCCACCTTATGTTTCACAAATATGATCCAAAAAAATTATTTTTTACTAAATAAGGGCAATCTTTAATTTAAAAATAAATTACCTTCCTAACCATTCACTAAGAGGACTACTCACAAGAGCTCCCACCAGTATCATCAAAACATTCAAGCTAAAAAACAGAAAAGAAACCGTTGAAAAGATAGTTAAGTATTTACACTTTCTCGATTTTTGGCCCATTTTTTGCTTCTTTTGTTGCTATTTGGCCTTGATTTGATAGAAAACTTTCATGAGACAAAACATTACCCGTATAGAATAACAATATACATTTCATAATAAACATTACTTGACGTAAATATTAAAACATTACCAGTATAGGATACCAATAAACATTTCATAATAAATATTACTTGACGTAAATATTAAAANCTTTGGTTAAAGGAACTATAAGCGTAATTTCAAGTGACCCTCCAGGCACAGATGACAATGCCCGATTTACAACGGTACCCTCAACAGCTTTGTCAGCTCAAGTATCAATTAGATTTGCATGTTTTTGCAAAAGAGACTTGCACATTTCTTGCTCGAGTCAGAAAAGCCGCATTTTTGCTCAAATATAGGTTTGAAGGGTTTCGTTACGAATTGGGCATTGTTGTTTTTGCATAGAGGGAATTTTCAAATTACTCTTAAGATAAAAATTGACAAAAATCTTTTTCTACAAAAAAAAATGTAATGTATAATAAGAATTTGCTGGTTTCAAATGATTTTGAAATATTACCTAATATACCATGTTATTTGATCCTCTGTCATAAGAATATATCCAAAACTTCCAGTCTGAAAACAAAATCTTTTCGAAACTTATTGCTTTTTTAATTTTCTTGATTTTTTTTGTAAAAACCATAGATAAAGATAGATTGCGCATAAGACGTCATTTTTCATCTTTAAAGATATAAATTTACAGAGATGTTTTAAAGATATTCCTATTATATAGATTAACTAGGTCGGTTGTGAACATTGGCTGTTCTTATGTCATTGAGTGCTTGTGGTGTACATGAGTTCTGTAGAGAGAAATTTATGTTAGTTTAGTCCTTCTCATGTCCTTCTTCAGTTCTCGTCAATTTGATATATTGCTCAGTGAAATATTGTTGTTCAAATAGTTTCATTCCCGAAATTATTTTACACTCTATTATGAAATCCATTAAAACACCAAACCACCCCGCTTATTATTAAAGTACACTTTGACCCCTAGAAGTATGAGTTCGGGGACTGTACAATTCTTGGTGATTTTGCGTACATAAGCTAGCTATGTTTATTTATTTATCTATGGTAAGAACAAATAAAGGAATTGAGTCTTTGCCTTTTATCTTTTTAATCCAATGTCATAGACCTTAGAAATTTCAAACTCTGAATTCTTTTGAATTAAAAATACGAAAAAGGGATTAGAAAATTTGAGTTTGTGGAGAAGACTCGATTCCTTTGAAAACTCGAGAAAACTACAAAAAATGTTTATCTGTGCCAAAAGTTAGTGAAAAATTATAACGCTATTTTTTAATTATGCTCATTATAGAAACATTAATTCAGTTTTAAAGTCCAATAAACTTTTAAATAACATGACCGCTGATAAAACCACATCGAACTATAGGCAAAAGGGGAAGATCAAATGATTTGAGCCTTTGCCACAAACTCTGATATTTTAATCTCTATATCTTTGCAACCCAATGTCGTAAACCTTTGTTATTTCAAACTATTGATTGTGTTAGATCAATTAATCATAGTTTTAAATATTAAAGGTTTACATAATTGGATTGAAAAGATAGGTTATAGAAGTTTTGAGCTTGTGACAAAGACTCAATTCCTTTATGAGACCTTAGTGTTACGACTTTGTGGCCTCGTAGCTCCTAGTTTTGATTTTACGTACACGCATGAGAAAAGAACATGTATTCGCGGGGTCACATATTATTCATTCAAAACATATTTGCGCATTAGAGCTCTTTAATAAATTCAATAAAAGAATGAAGAAAAATCTTATAAAATATAAAATTTCAATTTCACTCGGAATTTACTTTAGTTTGACGTGAAATGATGGGTTTATTTATAAACAAAATGTCATGAAAATAATTCAATGATTTGGCGAGCAATAGCTTTGCTTTTTTAAATGGACAAAAAAATACCTGATGATATGGCATGGTGACGCCAGCGTAGACAAAACAGAATCCCAAAAGGAAATTGTGAATACATAAAACTGAAGTTGTGACATATAGTCCAGTATTCTTGGCAGTCGTCTGCAGGTATTGGATACTTTCCATCTTAAACTGATAAGTTCTGAAAATATTAGAAAATCAAATTAATAGGAAAGCTGACAAAAAGCCAAGAAGAAATTCTGAGTTGAAGCATTTTACGAAGTGTCTTCTTTATAAACCAAAAATAATTCATTAAATGGTTTGACACAATCTAAAAATTGGTGAAAAAACTTTTTGAATATCTGTTAAATATTAAAATAAATATTGATAAAAGTCATATTTTATTCTTGATAAAAATTTGAATACATTTTGCTTTATTCAATATCTACACTAGAGACTGGAAAATCTAAAAACTTAAAACTATTTTTTCAAAGGATTCGTACTGCAAAAATAATTTGCATTCTTTGCATCCACATAATTTCTTAATATTGGCTCACGCAATAGGTTCAATTGGTAGAAATATGATTTTTTTGTTTCTGTGACTATGTGCAAGATATAAACTATTGATAAAACCTTACTCTATGGATAGGATTATTATTGAAACTAAATCTTGACAATGTAATAACGGAAATATGCGCAAAAAATGTTGAAAAACTTAGAAATACTCTTTTTGTCGACTTTTTAAAGATCCTACTATTTGTTTGCCCAAGCTTGTCATTCGAGACCTTTAGATTTTTATCGGAATGCCCCTTTCCATCTTAGAAGGAATTTCAAATTTTAGGAATCATAAAATTTAATAAATGACCACCATAATTTGCAAATAAGTTTTTTTCATTCATTCGTGCCGACCAGTCTCGATTACCCAGTGTTTTTCCTTTTCATCTTTAGAAATTATGTATTTTTTAAAGTAAAAGTTGAATCAACCTGAAGGTTCTAGTTCTCTGTGGAAACTGAAGATACTGAAGTTAAAATGAAATGAATTCAGCTCTGCTTAGTCTGTACTGAATCTATTAACATTCTTATCCTTTTATTCGACACCAAAGAAACAATTCAGAGTTTTTTAAGAGAATGCTCATAGATTATTAAACAAAACTCATAATGTTATTGGGTGATCTTTCGAACATAGACATGTAAAAATAATTAAAATTCAAGAATGATTTACAAGCAAAACATCAACTTTATAATAATGTTTTTATATAACATTTTTAATTCTTTAACATGAATTTCTGATTTTAGCGAGATAGAAACTTTAGGTTAGAATAGAGTTAAGCTGCTTTGCTGAGTTTAAAATCTTTAGCTGAAATTTGATAAAATTCTAATAATTGTATGTATGTTTTTGCGGGATTTTGAAAAAATAGGAATAAAGACGACAGTTAGCTTCAAATAGACCATAAAGTGTGCGCTAATTTGAAGTTCGAGCCCCGTATATTAGTTGTCGAACGAATGGGCTGACATTTTATTAAGGGAACCCATGGTAACCCAGGGGGTAACATAAGCTAAAAAAAAATAAGAAATATTTTTTTCTAAATCTATTTTTTTCTACAAAAACCTTTTTTTAAAATTTACTTGTCACTGGTCACAGAACTTTGACCAATAAGAGACAGGTCACATGCAACGGAATAGGTTAAATTCCTATGGGATACACTCTTGGACAAGGGTAAGTAAAAAGGTAGAAATGAACTTTGAAAATTTTGTTATTTTTTATTTTTCCATTGAAAGGTTATATCCTAGCTAATGTGATTATCAAGTCGAAAAAGTCCCTAAATCGATCTGTTTCTTACCTTCTGCTCTTGAAAAAATATGTATTTTTAGACGATTTTCGCCTCAAAATTGAAATAAAAATTTCACTCGAAAAATCATTTTCTTAGTTCCCAAAACCCTTATTTCAATAAGTTGATGACCATATTAATCATCCTTCATAGTTTGCCTCCTTTTTGGCACTTCTTGTTCTATATTGATTTTGGGGTAGTAAGAAGCTTTACATCCGACTTAGAACAAGTTTCCATTCGTCTATTAAAATAATATGTTATTAAAAACAATTAAAAAAATTGAAGACGAAAAGAAGACGTCAATCATTCCAGAATTACTCAGTTGATTCATCATAAACACTCCCTTTATAAAGCTTAACTGCAGTACGGAATATTCTGGATAGTACACAGTTGATTCATAAACACTCCCTTTATAAAGCTGCAGTACAGAATATTCTGGATAGTACACAGTTGATTCATAAACACTCCCTTTATAAAGCTGCAGTACGGAATAAAGTATTTGCTGATGTTTCAAAAAGAATTCAATATCACATAATTAATTCATCAAGTTCTTTAGTTTCAAAATACAGGGTGGATAAGTAAAAATGTTATTTTAGTTTCATAATACAGGGTGGATAAATAAACATGTAAGTTTAGTTTCATAGTACAGGGTGGATCGATAAACATGTTATTTTAGTTTCATAATACAGGGTGAACCAATAAACATGCAAGTTTAGTTTCATAATACAGGGTGGATCGATAAACATGTTATTTTAGTTTCATAATACAGGGTGAACCAATAAACATGCAAGTTTATTTTCATAATACAGGGTGGATCGATAAGCATGTTATGTTAGTTTCATAATACAGGGTGCACCAATTATGAATTTGATTTTGTAACATATGGTGCACCAGAACAGGTCAAACAAGTTTTATTTTTGAGGATTTTTTCACTCAAAAATCATTTTTTTAGCTCACAAAACCCTTATTTCAATATATTTCATGGCCATATTAATCATCCTTCATATTTTGTAATGCATTAACAAGTATTAAATTTGGTCCGTCAATATATTTATAATTCTGAAGATGGTATTTTTTTTACACTGTGTGATCCGAAACGTCGGAAAGTGGGGTCAAAATGTTAAGCTAATAAACATCTTAAAGTTAATAATTAAAATGAAGAAGCCAATTTAGATAATTGTATGAAGTAGTTTGGCTACGTTGACTAAGTTGATCCTCTTTTCAAGAACTTGAACCATCCTCTCAAGAGAATCGGTCACGTCCCACCAGTGAATATCCGAGCTGGGTCAACCATTGCAGTCCTACTTTGGACTGTACCGCCAATTTACAATTTCTAAAGCTGGAGAGGAGTGTGCAGTAAATGTAAATATACTACCTCTTTTTACTCCTTAAATTTGTCCCTGATCAATTAATACATTTTTCGATAAAAAAATCTATGTTACGTAACGTTTTAGATTTAATTTAGTTTACAATTGTTCAAGTGTTTTTTTGAGAAGGCGGGGGCTCAGACTTGTTGGAAGGGAGGGGGGCTCAGACTTTTTTCCTTTTAAATGATTTATTGAAGTTTGAAAGTAAGTTAAGTTTGTACAGAATAAAAATTAGATAAAAAGTACAGATTAACGGAGAATAATTATCCTGTATCAGTCTAAATATATATTGTGTGCACACTAGCATAATATTATTTTTTATTTACATACTTGCATCATAATTACTTAGTGACATAGTTACAAATTTACAAAATTTAAAAGTTACATCATATGACAATTACAATTTTCAACTTTTTTTTTTGTTTTTTAGCCGCTTTAACTTTAATTGTTTAAGTGCAAAACGAGCACGAAAATTATTTACGTAAATTCTGTTAATTTTCTGGATGCGGCCTCCTGGACCCCTTTCAACGATCAAAACTTTATGCAATGATTCCTGAATATAGATTTACATTAAAGTAATAATTTTTGCTCATTTATTATAAATATTTATGTGTTCGAGGTTTCGTGATATAAACATTTATATCTTTGTTAATTCCCACAGAAAGCCCTATTGGAGTTCGACACATTAAGTTAATTTCATCTTTGAAGCAAGATAGATTCGAAGTCACGAAATCACAAGTCTTTTTAACGGATTCAAAATGATAAAAATACTAGCTGTGGATAAATGGATAAAAAGATTCGGTGTTGCAGAATTTCGCTTTATCATTCAAAAGTTACGACCTTATACCTTATATATTTTAAAAATCTACACTCTACACCATTTATATTAAAATCAGCAAACAAATATTTACAGTTAAAAGGAGAAGGAAGGAAGGAGAGTAAGGGAGGGATTGAGAGCAGAGAAGTGTAGGGATTAAGGGATTGAGAGCAGAGAAGTGTAGGGATTAAGGGATTGAGAGCAGAGAAGTGTAGGGATTAAGGGATTGAGAGCAGAGAAGTGTAGGGATTAAGGGATTGAGAGCAGAGAAGTGTAGGGATTAAGGGATTGAGAGCAGAGAAGTGTAGGGATTAAGGGATTGAGAGCAGAGAAGTGTAGGGATTAAGGGATTGAGAGCAGAGAAGTGTAGGGATTAAGGGATTGAGAGCAGAGAAGTGTAGGGATTAAGGGATTGAGAGCAGAGAAGTGTAGGGATTAAGGGATTGAGAGCAGAGAAGTGTAGGGATTAAGGGATTGAGAGCAGAGAAGTGTAGGGATTAAGGGATTGAGAGCAGAGAAGTGTAGGGATTAAGGGATTGAGAGCAGAGAAGTGTAGGGATTAAGGGATTGAGAGCAGAGAAGTGTAGGGATTAAGGGATTGAGAGCAGAGAAGTGTAGGGATTAAGGGATTGAGAGCAGAGAAGTGTAGGGATTAAGGGATTGAGGGATTAAGGAAAGAGAAGAAAGGAATGAAGACAGTAGGAAAAGGTGGGATCGGACAAGGGTGTAATGCAAGGAAAGTTAATTGCGGTCGTGTATACTCTGCGTACATATTGAAACCAGTTCTCTTTTGGCGGAATTTGTAAACAAGAATAGATGCATCAGTGTTCGTTTAGTATACGAGGAGGTTAAAAACATTAAATTTTGATAATTCACATAATAGTTTCCTAGGACCAGAATATTTCATTGATTTTTTTATGTGAAAGATGGATCCCATGTCAGGCTTTGACATCCGTCTTGTGTTTACATTACCGCCCAGAGACAGTACACTGCAGTACAAAAGATGTGTACACATCTGAAATAACTTTCCTTGCATTACATCATTGGGATCGGGGGGGAAGGGGGAGGAGAAGAGGCAGGAAGAAATAGAGGGAGTAGAATCAAAAGAAGAGGTAAAGAGTTCAAAGAGTTGAAAGAGTTGGGGGGGAATAGGAAAATGGGAGGGGGGAAATGGCAACATAATTATAGTGAAAAATACTTATTACGCTTAATTTTAGATCAAATCATAGTTTTCATTTTATTTAATGAAATAAAATGCACTTTTGTTAAAAATAATGGAGGACTTCACCAAGATGTACAAAAAAACCATGGAAAATTACTGTACGGATTTTTAAATTTCTACAATTTATCATGTTATGTTCAAATTCCAAACATCAATTTATGTCAACATTGTAAAGAAAGCCGGGGTTTTAAAGAGAAAGCAATGAAGAAGAAAGCATGGTTTAGCCCCAGCTTTTCTATAATTCTAACAGAACAGTCTACCTCAGTACTGTTCTAGCTGTGACCCAGAACAATCCAGATAAAAGCAACATTTTCTAGGAATTAGAGAATTTTTTTAAAGTTTGTTAAAATCCAAGTTTTGAGCGAGAGAACTAATCTAAATTATAAAATCAATAAAAGGCCGCAGCCTCAATAGCTCTGAGTAGGCCTAGAGTAGGGGTTTAGTAGAGACGAGAGCAGCTGACAGGACGGGTTTAGGAGAGATCAATATCCGGGTCTAATATACAATACGGCAACGGTTCTAGTCCAGGAACCGTAGGTTTCATGTAAACGGGGGAACGAGCTCCTTTTCCAGGAGAAGCGTCTTGGCAATTGAGAATCAGGTGTGATTGTTTCTATCATGCATTGTCTCATTTAATTAGATTTTATTTTTACATTTTTACGTTCTTTGGTGAACAATATGGCTACCATTATTACGTATATATTGTATATATTTTATTAGTTTGGTAATATTCTCTAAGTTCTACAAAGGCTTTGAGTCTTTGCCACAAACTCATATTTTCTAATCCCTATTTCTTTGCAACCAAATGCCGTAGACCTTAGATATTTCAAAATATGAATTCTGGTAGATAAAATAATCTAAGTTTGAAAAATCAAAGGTTTGTACCATCAATTCGCTAAGATATAGGGATTAGAAAATTTGAGTTTGTGACAAAGATTCAATTCCTATGGGATATATTTAAAAAGTAATAATAAAATTTTAACTTTGACAGAAATAACATGTGAAACATGTCAATATTATGAAAACAGTTTTATTCCATTGTATTTTTAAAATTCAAAGTTTAGTTAATCTTATAAGTTCCTTTTCGTAGTATTTATTTCACGGCACACTATATTTATAGGGATATATTATGTTTATTTATACTTGTACAAAATCAGAACAATCTAACAGCGTGCAGTTGAATGTTTATTCGTATTCCTATCTGATAAAGATTAATTAAGGGATCCCAACATTTTATAAAAATTGACAAATCTAAACAAAAATATTTGCAAAAAAAGATTTTTAAAAATCTTCGCGTTGTTTTGAAAATCCTCCAAAATATAAGATAAACAAACATTTATTTGGAAGAAACGTAAAGATGTCAAGGTTTGTCAAGATGTATGGTTTCTGTTTTCGTTTCCTTTAATTTGGACGAAACATCCGGATCTGAGATTAAACACTCTGTTCACGTCAAATCTACTTTTACCAGGGATTTCTTTAAAGACTTTATATTTCTTAAAGGGACTATAAGCGTAATTTATCGTGACTCTCCATGCAAAGATGGCAATGACCGACTTACTGCGATACCATTTAAACCTTTGACTGTTGATCGAGAGAACAGAGATGAGAACTCTGTGTGCATATCTCTCAAATAATATTATAAAAGTCCGTTAATAATAAGTCAACTTAATAGTTAATATCTGCGACTTCTAGCCATGTGTAACTAATTTATTAATTTTATATTATATTATATATTTAAAAACTAAGTGATTAACTGTTGTTAATCAGACAACCCACTCTACAAATGTAGGAACACTTGAAATTACGCCTATACAGACCCATGAAAGGGAGTGTTAGCTGTAAATAATTAGGGGGTATAGTGAACAGGTTGATACTTGTTCATTACATAATTAGATCGCCGATCGTATACTAATAAGTGGAGCTACGAGGTCACAAAGTTGAACCTTAGATTTACCTTTTTCTACTGTCTAGTTTTCAGTTTGCCTTTTCCTTGTTTAAAGATATATTAATGTAAGACTTTATCCAGAGGACCGAAAAATTCAAAATGTTTTATATCAGGTATAAATAATAATTGAATATTAGATATTTAAATCCACCAGGAATAAGTTTTTAATAAATGAATGTTCATATAAACATCAAGAAGCAATAATATTGCTATATTCATATTCGTATGTGCGAACATTCCCTTTAACAGGAATCTCTTAAGATTTAAACAACTGTAGAATATTAAAGATTATCGTTTTTTTACCATTATAGAAAATAACAACATGAATTGATAATTTACAGTTTTTATATATAATTTTTCTCTATCTATAAAATCTTTTACCTGTTACTCTCAATCTGAGGTGTAAGGAATTTAGTCTTTTCCCAAAATCTGATACCTATATCTTTGCAACCTGGTAATGTAAACCTTTGATATTTCAAACTGGATATAACAGAATAACAGAGTTTCTGGCACAAAGACTTTACCCTGACAAGGAACCAACCAACAATTTTGTGACTCATTTTTTCAATTCCTTTTATTTTTTTCGTCTTAAAAGTAGTGTCGGTCTAGACATGGTAGTTAATCAGCTCAACTACCATGTATAGCCAGACACTACCTTTAAATGGATATCGATACAGATACGGATACTGGATACCAGGACCACTTTTTAACTTGTTTTATTCTCTCAGGATGCCGTGGTTAACGAGCTGTTGCTGTGGATTCAGCGTGAAAAGTGGAACCAAAGCTGTTGCTATTCTCAGTCTGGTAAGTAGCCCCGCAACCCCCCTCCCCCACTTATAAACAGTCTGGTAACTAGCCCCCTTCCTCACCTATATAGCCTGGTAAGTAGCCCCGGAAACCCCCTCCCCTCCTTCCCCAACTATATTCAGTCTGGTAAGTAGCCCCCCACCGCACCTATATAAAGTCTGGTAAGTAGTACCCCCTCCCATCCCCCCATATTATTCATTTTATATTCCATGAAATAACGTTAAATTGACGTACTTTCTGTCTTAAATCAGGAAAAATGGTTGAAAAATAGTTTGTTTTTGATTTGTTTTATCATCACGTGTTTCTCTCTAAATTTCTAATCCTGACAAGGATTATAGAAGGAACTCACAACGATCCAGACTACTGCATCAATTTTCAAGACTGGGTGGCTTTGATTTTTCCTTATTACCTTACTTGTTTTTTTTGTATAGTCATATTCTCTACTTCACCGGTCATATCCTGTACTGCACAGGTCATATCCTGTACTTCACCGGTCATATTCTGTACTGTAAAGGTCATACCCTGTACTGGACAGATCATATCCTGTACTTCACCGGTCATATACTGTACTTCACCGGTCATATCCTGTACTGCACAGGTCATTTCCTGTACTTCACCGGTCATATTCTGTACTGTACAGGTCATACCCTGTACTGGACAGATCATATACTGTACTGCACAGGTCATATCCTCTATTGAACTGGTCATATCCTGTACTACACCGGTCATAATCTGTACTGCTCTCTTGGAAAAATACAGTAGTATTTTTCCAATTAATCCTTTCAAACTTAAGCTAGAAACATGTGCAATTTTAAAATGTATATGTCAAGGACCACAAAAATGTATAAGTGAGTTGGTGAGGGAAAACCGAAGGCCAAGGCGTGGCGACAGTTTAAATTTGAGGCGGTCTAAATATTTGGTGAATAACTTTCCGAGTTGTCTAGATAGCAGTGTACTATCTTATTATGTAAAGTTTTGCCTGGTTAAATAATACTTTTTTACTCCAGGTATATTCTGTGTTTGGTTTACTAGCGGTCGGAACATACAACTATGGCAAGGAAATGCTTCATAGGGAATCTTTAGGGATTAACCAGCACAGACGACCTACTGGATATCTAGAGATCCAGGTAGGCAATCATAATGATAAAAATACTTGTAATAATAATAATAATAATAATAATAACAATAATAATAATAATAATAATAATAATGATAATAATAATAATAATAATAATAATAATAATGATAATAATAATAATAATAATAATAATAATAATGATAATATGAGATTATTCGAGATTATTCGAGATTATTCGAGATTATTCGAGATTATTCGAGATTATTCGAGATTATTCGAGATTATTCGAGATTATTCGAGATGCTTTCTGGAGATTCTTCAAGAACAATTTGCCGGGTGTGTTTTTAATCTAGCTTTTGTTGATAATGTTTACTAATATCTTGTCATAAATTTAATTTGTCTGCTTTATTAGTCTGACCCTCTCCCATTTTTTTCAGTTTTCTTGAGAAAAATTCCCTGAATTTTTACTTTGTTAAAACATTGTCCTCACAATATGTCCAACAAATCATTAACATTCTTGAAACTAAAACTTTTAACACTGTTCTCGGGTTTAAAATATGCCGGGCTTCAAGCAGTAATAATCAATCAATGTTGAGCTCTGAGAATTTCTCACTTTCTTTAGATTTATGACAAACATTATAGCCCTTGGGACCACAATATTTTCCTTCCTCATCCTGATTTAATTCATAACACACTTTATTGTCCCAGCTGGTTTTGAACCGGGACAATAAAGTGGATTTCAAATCTTGAACCACTTTATTGTCCTGGCTGACCACTTTATTGTCCTGACTGACCACTTTATTGTCCTGGTTAACCACTTTATTGCCCTGGCTGACCACTTTCTTGTCCTGATTTAAGCATTAATTTTTCCATTTCTAATTAAACGAATGTGAGTGTGGAAATTTATAAATAATAATAAATAGATTTGTATGTATTGACTAGTGAAGTTTTTATGTCTCGATAAATTGGACAGAAAAGTCTGCAATGTGTTTCCATTTAAACTTCAAACATGTTTCTAAAGAAAAACTCATTCCAGATAAAAACTTTTTATCTCACTTTGATCAAAATAAAGTTTATTGATTCTTTTTGTTTTAACTATAAATTTTGCCGCTAGGGGTTGAAGAGCTGATGACCTTGTACGCTGTATCTGTGTCAGTCAACTTCCTTGTCTCACTTTCTCTTCTTCTTGGAGTTAAACTGGTAATATTTACTTTTCCTAAACTTATCCTGAACCTAACATAAACCTGTCTTAAACTTGTTGTAAACTTATTCTAAAGTTGTTTTGAACTTACCCAAAACCTATCATAACCTTATTCTAAACTTATCCCTAACTTATCCTAAACTTATCCTGAACCCAGCACAAACCTGTATTTTTAACTTATCCTAAACTTATCCTTATCTTATCATAAACTTATTCTAAACTTATCCTTAACTTATCCTAAACTTATCATAAACTTATCCTAAAGTTACCCTATGCCAATCCTAAACTTTTTCTAAACTTATCATTAACTTATCCTAAACTTATTCTAAACTTATTTTGAACATTTCATAAACTTATCCTAAACTGCAACTAAATATGTCATTTTTTATCCTAAACTTATCCTAAGCTTATTTTAAACTTATCCTAACCTTTTTTAAAACTTATTTTAAACTTATCTTAAACTTATCCTAAACTTATTTTAAACTTATTTTAAACTTATCTTATGCTTTTCCTAAACTTATCCAAAACTTATTCTAAACTGATCCTAAACTTATCCTAAACTTATCCTAATTAAGCCTATTCTAAACTTATCCTTAACTTATCCTTCAGCTATCCAAAACTTATCCAAATCTAGACTCAATTATGTCCAAACTGAAATTCCAAGAATTGACAACAAAATATCGAATCTAAATAAAAAAATATTTCTACCAATATTTTGAGAGATTTTTTATGTTTACATATCAATAAATCTTTATAATAAATCAATCCATTCAAACTATTTTTTTCCGTCGTCTAGAAAAAAACGTTGTAAAAGCTGTTACATATTAAGTAAAGAGAGGAATACTCATCAACTTAACGGTAACATTGCAGCTGATGCTTCAATTTTGTTGTGTAATTTTAAGAATCATTTCTCATAAACGTTTTAGAAAATAAAACGTTAAAAACTTACAAATATGTTTAAAACTGAACGAAATTTCGTTTTCGACAAATCTCGGTTAATTCCTTACTTTTTTCTGCTATACAAATCTTCAAGATGCTTTCCAGAATTTATAAAATTCTACTTTAATTGTATAAAAGATAACGGTCTACTCGAGATGTACTTTATTTTCCGTTCTTTATAGCACAAATATCTTAATACGCAGCACCGTAGGATGAAAATTGGAAAACCTTAAACACTTGTTAAAATTAATTATATTTTAAATATCTCCATTCAAATATTTCAAGTTTTGGAAATCAAATTAAGCGCAGTAATTTTATAGAAGAATACAGATCAAAATAATAGAATAGAAATGGTCTTCTTTCAAAGAGACTTAAGCGTAATATACTTATACTACTATACTATAAAGAGACTTAAGTGACCCTTAGTAAAAAATGGCTTAATACCCAATTCACAACGGTATCCTTGAAACCTTCATGTTGATCCATATTTAAGAAGAAATTGTCATATGTATGCGCGTGTTTAATTCCTATATATTTTCCTGCAGTAGAAATGTGAAAGTCCCTTTAGAAGAGAAACTACCATGGAAAGCAAACAGTTTTTAAAATTACGAACATTGATATATAATTTATACTTGATCAGACAACGCTATAAGGGTACCGTTGTAAATAGAACATTGCCATCTTTGCATGAAGGATTACCGAACATTACGCTTACAGTCCCTTAAAAACCGAGTTTTACCCCAGGAAAAGTTCTTTTTGTTGAAAAAAAATGTAAATCATTACTGAGTGACCGGCTCAAATTATAAAAGTTTTCGATCTCTCAAGCTGTTCTCAAGCTAGGTCGAAAACAATGAGGATTATATTGTTAGCGAACGGTCCCTTTAATATCAAATAATCTAGGAGAAAAAGCTGCTTCTGGTCCCCTGGGTGGTTTGGACAGCTTTAAACCTTGTAATATCTCAAGCAGTAGTTCTCTACGCTCCTGATAGAGTAAGTATCTATTTTTAAGACTAAAAAATGAATAATTAAAAAAAGTACCCCTGCCCCCCCCCCCCCGCGATTAGATTTAAAAAGTAAAATACAAATGAAGAATGAAAAACCTTCCTCTGGAAGGGAATTTTACAAACATATTTTTAAGTTTTCATTTTCTAGACAACTTCGACGATCCCAGACATCTTCTCTACGGCCATCATGGTGTACTGCATGCTTTGCGTGATCTCTTACTACCAAGTTCTATCCGACCCTCCACCCCATCCTGCCACCCTACTCCTAGATGAGACGGAGAACACCTATCCAACCAGCTTCTCCGCTGACAGGGACTGTGGTAGTTTCCCTAGCTGTCAATCCATTCATCCGCCTCGCAGTCCTCCGCTCAGGGTTGCGCTGCCACCCACTCCGCCGCCAGCCTACTCCTCTGACAACCCTCCAATTTATGATCCGCCTCCGCCATATCCTGGTTCACCAGAGGAGAAAACTATTATGGACGGGTAATTGTTATATTCCACTCAGAACAAATCTTTTTAATACAATTCGATTTGAAAACCGACAAATCCATATCATGAAAACTAGCAGAAAACTCAAAATTGGACAGAATAAGTTTTTGCATTTCCCCTCCCTAGTACTTTTCTAAAGAGTAGAGGCTAGAGAGTTCAAATCAGTCTTTGCCACAAACTCAAATATTTTAAATCCATTTAAATTCTCAATATAATAATGTTAAACTTTGATATTTCAAACTTAGATTATATGGTTTAACAGAATTCAAAGTTTAAAATATCTAAGGTTTCACCATTGGGTTGCAAAGGTAGATATTAGAAACTCCGAGTTTGTGGCAAAGACTCAATTCCGTTATCTATTGAATACCCAGTAAAGTACTGTAAACAGTTTATTCCCAAGTAAAGTACTGTAAACAGTTAATTCCCAAGTAAAGTACTGTAAACAGTTCATTCCCCAGTAAAGTACTGTAAACAGTTCATTCCCCAGTAAAGTACTGTAAACAGTTCATTCCCCAGTAAAGTACTGCAAACATATAATTCCCCAGTAAAGCACTGCAAACAGTTAATTTCCCAGTAAAGTACTGTAAACAGCTAATTCCCCAGTAAAGTACTGTAAACAGTTAATTCCCCAGTAAAGTACTGTAAACAGTTAATTCCTCAGTAAAGTACTGTAAGCAGTTAATTTCCCAGTAAAGTACTGTAAGCAGTTAATTCCTCAGTAAAGTACTGTAAACAGTTAATTACCCAGTAAAGTACTGTAAACAGTTAATTACCCAGTAAAGTACTGTAAACAGCTAATTCCCCAGTAAAGTACTGTAAACAGTTAATTACCCAGTAAAGTACTGTAAGCAGTTATCATGATTGCCAGGGAATAAAGAGAGATCTGAGTTATTGACAATAAAAACTTAATGACAAAAATGTGATAAGCTCTGAGTGAAATTATACAATTATTTTTCCTTTACAATTGTTCAAGTCTAGAAGATTTCGCCATCAAAGGGCATTTATATCACATATTAAAGTCCATCAGTTTTGTAGATACCAAGTAGAGGTGTAGTCAGGGGGGCTATGGGGGCTAAGCCCCCATTGGACCAGTGAAATCTATGGATTTCAGAGAGTTTTCAGGCCCCAACGGGTGCTGAGCCCCCCATGAAAAGAAAGAAGCCCCCCCTGGACGCAAATTCCTGACTACGCCCCTGATAACAAGAATAGAACAGTGAGAACCCGAAAAAGGGGAATTTTCGTCCTCTCCTTTTTTCTTTTAACCATTAAATGTTTTGGAAACTACTTCTAATCAATATTTAATTTTAATTTATGTTTATTGATAAGTTTTCTTTGATTTTCTTGATTTATTTTCTTCATTAATTATCAGCTATAGAAGTCAATGTACTCAAAATGATTGTTTAGGTTTGAAGCTGATGAAATCCTTGAAGTGAACACTGAAGCTGATCCAGAGCTAGGATCTACTCAGCTTAACCCCGACCCTGAGCAGGGTCTGATCAGGATAACGGAGCAGGAAACTGAAACTAGGGCTCCCCTCAACCAGGTCCCGGAGAAAAACTGAATCACTTTTAGGGTCGTATTGTAGATAATTCAGTAAACACGAAAACAGAGATACGAGGATGTAGGAAATAAAAATAAAGAAGTATGAATAGAGGATACAAGGACATGGATACAAGGATACAAGATTACAAGAATACAAGGATACAAGGATGCAAGGATACAAAATTACAAAGATAAAAGGATATACAAGGATAAAGGATACAAGGATTAAAAACGAAATCTAATAATGGTTCAAAAATAGACACAAAAAAATGAAGCAAATGTACATTTAATATAATTACTTAAGGGTGTTAAGGGATGTAGTTATAACAAAACTAGAAAAAGGGGACATGAGGAATTTCGAATGAAGTGATTCAAAGATACAAAAGGATCTACTGATTATAAAGAATCCATTAGTTCAAGGATACAAGGATGTAATCATTCAAGATACAAGGGTTTCAAGTAATTACAAGAACGAGTCTTATCTTTAAGATTGAAACTATATTCTATATTCATATGTAGGTATAGCGCACTCAATTTAATGGATTTCTCCTTATGATCCACAATTTAAGGAATTTCTCCTTTTGCCCCAAAATTTAATGGTTTTCTCCTTATGCTCCACAATTTAATGGTTTTCTCCTTATGCTCCACAATTTAATGGTTTTCTCCTCATGCTTCACAATTTAATGGTTTTCTCCTTATGCTCCACAATTTAATGGTTTTCTCCTTATGCTCTACAATTTAATGGTTTTCTCCTTATGCTTCACAATTTTATGGTTTTCTCCTTATGCTCCATAATTTACTGGTTTTCTCCTTATTATCCACAATTAAATGGTTTTCTCCTTATGCTCCACAATTTAATGGTTTTCTCCTTATGCTCCACAATTTTATGGTTTTCTCGATCCTTTTGCAACACAACTTAATGGTAATCTCCCTATGCTCCATAATTTACTGGTTTTCTCCTTATTATCCACAATTAAATGGTTTTCTCCTTATGCTCCTCAATATGATGGTTTTCTCCTCAAACTCCAACCTTTATGGTTCATATCTTACGCTCCCCAATTTTATTGCTTTCTCCTCCTGCTCCATCCACAATTTAATGGTTTTCTCCTTATGCTCAACAATTTAACGATTTTCTCTTTACGCTCCACAATGTTATTGCTTTCTCCTCAAGCTCCACAGTTTAATGGTTTTCTCCTTACGCTTTACAATTTAATATGTTTCTCCTTATGCTCCACAATAAAAATGTTTTCTGGTTTTCTTCTTATGCTCCAAATTTTAATGGTTTTCTCCTTATGCTCCACATTTTAATGGTTTTCTCCTTATGCTCCACAATTTAATGATTTTCTCCTTATGCTCCACAATTTAATAGGTTTCTCCTCATGCTTCACAATTTAATAGTTTTCTCCTTATGCTCCACAATTAAATGGTCTATATCGATAAAAAAGTAAAGTAAAATCTTCGTTATTATTTTAACTCTTTGATTTCTGAAACTCTCACGTTAAAATAAATTGTAAAGACCAATTTATATTTAGATCATATTTTTTGTCAAATGATATATTTGTGATGGTAATATTATCTGTCAACGCACACATTTATATTCAATTTTGCGCATTTTCACCCTTTCATCTTTAAATATCTCATAGTTTAGCAATTTATCTCTTGAATCTCAAACTTACAAAGTATATAATTCAAAAGACAAAATATTCACCTTTTTGTAAATTACGATTGGTGAACATATGATCAGTTTATAAATATATAAAATGTGAAAATTGAAACTGTTAAACATTACAGTGTATGTATATAAAAACAATGTCGAAACTTAAATTCACTACGAAGTCTAAAACACTGAATGTAAATTTGAGAAAAATTCTTTACATGTTGTCTGACCGATATTTGTTCAAGTACTTGGTCGATCATAGAGATCTAAATATGCAGATCTGCAGTAAACTTTACAGACTATAATGTACTAAACCTACTTGGCCTCATCAGTTTTGTCAAATCTGTTTAAATATTAATCAGCATTTCTGCCCGTTTTTTAAGTTGTTAACATTACTTAAACAATTAACTAACTAAATGATCTTTAACCATTTTCTTTTTTAGTCTCACGTAGGCATTTCTTTCAAATTTTGAAAAACAGAATTTAAAAAAAATTCTAAATCAACTTTTTCTTGACCCCTTGCTCAGTGCTCATGGCATTCCTAAAATTAATCTATCATCAAATCATTTAAAAATCTAAATCTTTTCAATAAAATTGTTTTTACGTAATTTGTTTTTGAATATTGTCAAGTAAAACATTGCCTGGACTTGAAATCAATCTTCCCTTCTGATTAAACCAATTTATCAACTTAATTTTATGTAACTGATTTGTGTTTTGTCATTATTAACAAATATTTCTATATTTTTAATTGTTAATTTCGACAAATAAAATAATGAATGAAGAAAAAATGTGTAAAATATTATTTTTAGAAAGCTTATAGTTGACGGAGTAGATAGACCATGGAGAGGGAATCTTTTTTCGAGTCACCTTAACACGGACTGAAAAACATGCTCTGCAGATAACTCCCTAAATTAGGAATAAGGTTATTGAAAAGTCGTCTTTGCTCAATATTGTGATTGTCTTGGCTTCTCTTCGTTTAAAGAGTTACGAGACGATTTTACATTTCTAAACATTTACGTCTACGTTTCCTTTAAAGGGACTGAAAGCTTAATTTTAAGTAATCCTTAATTTTAAGTAATGTTAAACCTGCAGGATTACCCACAAAGGATGAGACTGTAAAGACGACCTGGAACTCTTAAAATTTGACGACTCTGAGGTTGAATGAAAATTTCTGTCTTGAATCTTTTAATATCTTATGAAATGATTTGGAAAAAGAAAAACAAGTTTACAGTTGCTGGGAATCCCCGAATGTAAACAAACAGACAGATAGTATGGATTCAGTACAGTCAACTCTGAAGTCTCATCCTTTGTGGTTAACCCTGTAATTTAAAATTGTACGCTTAGTAAGTTTGCTTTAATTCCATAATGCAAAATTTTTACTCGGACCAAAGATATCAACCAAAACGATTTTCAAATGATTGTTAAAATTGTTTTGAATGCGTAAAAACGGCTTTAAAAACGGTGTCTATCCCGCTGGCCAAATTATCCCTAGACTATGTTATTTTTATAGTGCACTTCATAGACAAATATTGAAATAATAAACACAGGGAAAAAATGGATAAACTGGTTATTTTTTCTTTTTTCCTTTTTTTCTCAATTAATTCATATATAACTTAATAAAATATAAGATTAATCTAATATTAATATCACATACAAATATTTTTTATTCTCCAATTATGAAGAACAGCCCAATAAACGTTATATTGATACTTCTGCAGGATGTCATTAATTTTTATATCTATAATAATCTATTTTTGTTTCATCTTCCTCTCAATTAACTTTTACAATATATTCCTTTCTCTTAGTATAATTTGAGGTTGTGTTTCTGACCTAAATGAAACCGACTGAAGGTATATCCGACATAATTTTCAAATATTTAAAAAAAATGTGAGAAGTTTTCACTCCCTGCGCGTTTTTACGTAATTAAATCGAATTCCAATTATTCATAGAATATACCTTAGCTAAAACATATTTCAAAGATCAATACAATTTTAGTTCTCAAACACATAAAGTCAGAAAACTCTTAGGTCAGAAAACTCTTAGGTCAGGAAACTCTCAGGTCAGAAAACCCTTAGGTCAGAAAATAAATAGATCAGTTTCCTAAGTATTGTTTCTAACAAAGTAACATTTTCAGTGAGACACACTACAATTCAGAATTTAAATTCCAAAACTTTAATAAACCGTTCAAGTTTTTATGAAAGTAAAACACAAATTTTTAATGAGAGTAGTCTATTTAGTCTAAACATCTTGTTCATTTCGTGTAAACATCTTGATTTAAGTAGTTAGTCTCGTCAATACAATGAAGACGACTTTTTATTTAAGTTTAGATTGTTAACAAGTTTTTTTTAATTAAAAGTTTACAAGTAATTACGAGAAGCTTTTTCACTTGACAGCTTCTCTTGAATTCTACGTTGATGTGTATCCATGCTGTTTAACAGCTTGATATATATCAAAATCGAAATCGAAAGTCGTCTTCATTGTATTGGTATAATCGCCTCGTGTAAACATCCTGATTTAACTAGTTTCGTCTAAACATCTTGATTTAGGTAATTTGTTCCTTCTAAACATTTTGGTTAGGTAGTTTGTCTTGTCTAAACACATTGATTCAAGTAGTTTCGTTTAAACATCTTGATTTAAGTGGCTTATTCCGTCTAAATATCTTGATTTCTGTAGTTTATTTCGTGTAAACATCTTGATTTAAGTAGTTTGTTTCGTCTAAACATCTTTATTTAAGTAGTTTGTTTCGTATTTTGTTTTAAACATCTTGTTTATTTCGTGTAAAAACCTTGATTTAAGTATTTTAATTAGACTAAACATTTTGATATCACTAGTTTTGTCTAAACTTCTTGATTCAGGTATTTTGTTCAGTTCAAACATTTTGATTTAGTTAATTTTGGCAAAAAGTCATGATAAAGGAAGTTTGTTTCGTCAAAACATTTTGATTTAGATAATGTTTTTTTGTTTCTATACATATTGATATAAGTAGTTTGTTTTGTCTAAACATTTTGATTTGAGTATTTTGCTTCGTCTAAACATCTTAATTTATATTTGTATCTTTTCTATACATCTTGGTTCAGGTAGCTTGTTCTGTCTAAACACCTTGATTTACGTAGTTTCGTCTAAACATCCTGATTCAAGTCATTGGGTGGAAACATCTTGATTTAAGTATTTATTTCGTCTAAACATCTGGATTTTAGTAGTATCGTCTAAACTTCTTGATTTAGGTAATTTATTTAGTTTTAAACATCTTGTTTATTTCGTGTAGACATCTTGATTTAAGTAGTATGTCCCGCCTAAACCTCTTGATGAAAGTATTTTTCTTCGTCTAAAAATCTTGATTTATTATTTTTCTTCGTCTAAAAATCTTGATTTATTATTTTCTTCGTCTAAAAAGCTTGATATATGTAGTTTCTTTCGTCCGGATATTAACAGTCCACATTTAGTCAACCTAAAGAAAGATAACTGTCACACAAAGCCTTCATTTTGCATCGAAATATTTTTTAATGAGTTTAATTCAATTTCTTCGGTTTCAAACTGAGGTGCATAGTGCACTAGGAAATTTTTATTTCATGCTTAGGTTTAACTTTTTTACCTTTTTTGGTAGAATAATGCTCGAGAATGAGACGAGGAAGACGACTGAGAGAAAGAGAACGTTTGAAGTGACCCCCGCCAAACCAAATATGAAAGGATAGCTGCTCTGTATATATCCAAACCCGTTCAACTGACTTTCTAAATTCAGAAGAAAATGAAGAAAAATTATGGTTTTTTAAGTTATAAGTTTTCCTTTTTTATCAAAAAGTACCTATTTCAATCTCCACAGAGTGAATCTGAAAAGAAACATTAAAGTCGAAAAACTTTTTATTGAATTACCCTTTAACATGTCTATTCTTTCGCCCAAAATAAAATAAAAAAAAAATTTTTGGTAAAATTTACCATGAGAAATTTGGATTGGAACTCGACAGACAGTTCCTTGATTGGATCAGAATATTCCTCAGAGAAACTTTCGGTTAACATGATACTTTTCCGGTTAACCAGTTCCCTGAACACAACTTTCCGTTAGCAGAGATGAAATTTAAAGAATTTGAGCCGCGGTTTAAATCCGCCAAAACCCGGTTTAAATTTAGCGCCGGCTTAAATCTTGAAACATTTGATACAATTTTAAGTGGAACCAACCATATTTAAGCCGCGGCTTAAATTTAAACCGCCGCTCAAATTCATTAAATTCGGCCACTGGATACTTTTCCGGTTAACCAGTTCCCTGAACATAACTTTCCGTTAGCAGGATACTTTTCCTGTTTACCAGTTCCCTGAACACAACTTTCCGTTAGCAGGATACTTTTCCGGTTAACCAGTTCCCTGAACACAACTTTCTGTTAGCAGGATACTTTTCCGGTTTACCAGTTCCCTGAACACAACTTTCCGTTAGCAGGATACTTTTCCGGTTTACCAGTTCCCTGTACACAATTTTCCGTTAGTGGAATAATATCCGTAAGAAGAATACTTTTCCGGTTTACCAGTTCCCTGAACACAATTTTCCGATAATGGAATATTTTCCGTTAGCAGGATTTTCCGGTTTACTAGTTCCTTAAAAAAAAACAATTTTAAGTTAGCAAGATATTCCTCAGAGAAATGTACTGTACTTAGCAGAATACTTTTCCGGTTAACCAGATCCCTGAAAACAACTTTCCGTTAGTAGAATACTATGCCGTTATTAGAATACTTTCCGTCAACAGGATACTTTTCCGATTTACATTAGCAGGAAACTAAATACCGGTATCCCTAATAACATCTTTTCGTCATAAGTATATATTCTGCTAGAAGAACATTTTTCTGTTTCACCAGATCCATGAAAACAACTTTCCGTTTGTTGGACACTTTTCCGGTTAATTAGATCCCTGAAAACAGCTTTCCGTTAAAATGATACTTTCCGACAGTAGGATATATTCCGTTCCAATTTACCAGGTCCATGAATACAAACTTCCCTTTCCAGGATACTTTCCATGAGCAGGATACCTTTCCGGTTTACCAGCTCCTTAAGTACAGGGTGTCCCACATAACATTACAGTTGAAAGATGGCTTGTATAATAATAAAACATAATCTTTTACTCATATGATTAGTAAAAAATACCATAAATTTCCCCATTTTCCTCTGGCTTTCCCAAAAAAGGACTTTTTTTGTGCTTTTAATATTATTATTGAAATAAAGAGTGTCGTTTTGATTTTCAATTTGAAATCAAAATTGTATTCTTTAGATGTGAACATATGTTAACTAACTGTACGATGGACGAGAATTTATTAATACTACATATAAAAAATATTTTTACCTTATACATAGATAGTCAGTATAAATATTGTAGGATTTCTACCTGTTATACTACGGGTAGTAAATCGGCTTATTTTTAGTTTAATTTACATAGTTATTCATATGCAAACTGCAAACATGTAATATTTGTGAAGTAAACATATACAATACATATATAATTATATTCGTACCTTGATTCCCAGAAATTAAATATGTTCTCCGGGTGCCAGAATTCACTGAAATTACATTCATTAGACCGGATACACATCTACATAATACGGCCTTCGACTGTTTTAAAGAAGCCTTACAAATATATGTTTTAAACGTCTTTTAAATAAAATAGATTTGTTAAAAATCCTTTTAAAATCATTAGTAATTATTTTAGTTCAGTTTTGTGATGTATTAATTTTATTGAGTACATTATATATATTTTAATGAGTCTAGGGCTCCAACAAATTTTATTTAATGAAAACTTGAGTTGATCGATGGAAAATGTGAACAATCTATGGCAATCACTTACAAAGGTTACCAACCTTAAAGCAAAGACTACTTTAAGTCCAATCAGCGTAATGAGAAACCATTATTTAAAAGTTTAGTCTCGGGTTTTTATCTCTTACTGACCCGTTTTGTAGAAGTAAATAATGGGTTTAAAATTAGACACAACTCTTAAGAAAAATAAGTTTTAACATATCTCAAGAATCAAACCTTAGTTTAGTGTCAATGACAGTTTAGTCTTGAGAATAATAAATTGAGCTTTTTCCTCTTAAATTTTCTAACCCCTACATCTTTGCAACCCGATTTCGAAGACATTAGATATTTTAAACTATGAATTCTTTTAGATAAATAATCTTCGTTTGAAATATCAAAAGTTAAACACCATCAGGTTGCAAAGATAAAGAGATTAAAAAATTTGAGTTTTGGGAAAAAAATAATTCTTTTCCTCCGATTTTTCAAATGGCGGCCTATTAATTATTTTAAAGATTAATGTTTTTAACCTTCCAAGAAGAAGAGAGGACTTGCAGGTGATGGTTTTCAACTTATCCGCCCTAGTTCGAGCTCGAAAACATAACAAGAACATCGCGTCATCCTTAATATATATAAATATATAGATATCCGTCCTAGTTCGGGCTCGGAAACATAACAAGAACATCGCGTCATCCTTAATATATATAACATATAGATATCCGTCCTAGTTCGAGTTCGGAAACATAACAAGAACATCGCGTCATCCTTAATATATATATATATAAAAATATATAGATATCCGTCCTAGTTCGAGCTCGGAAACATTACAAGAACATCGCGTCATCCTTAATATATATAAACATATAGATATCCGTCCTTATTCGAGCTCGGAAACATATCAAGAGCATCGCGTCATCCTTAAAGGGACTGTAAGCAAAAGTGAGGAGGAGCATACCCCGATTCACAACGGTACCCTTTCAACCTTTAATATTTAAGGAATATTAATTAATAAATACTTTCTAGATTTTCTAGAAGCTGCAGAAATGGATTTTCAAGAAATGAACGTGACGTCATTCGCGTTGAGACACCCCCCGATTTTACGGCTTTTAACGGCATTCAAAATATTAAAACTGAGGCAATAAGTTTCTGCAAGATTTTAAAAAATTGAATTTTATTATATATACTGGAACATATTTACTACATTTTATGTATGTATATCGGTATACCATGGAACTACAAACCAGCTCGATCAGAAAATCTTAACTCAGGACAAATATTTTTTAAAGAAGGTTTAATTTGCTTGGTCCGAGGTAACAGCTTTTGTAAAGAATTGTTCAGATATAGCATGAACACCATACGAAGACCATTATTTCTTCTGACCGCAGCTTTTTTCGTCTAAGCGTTGCTTCTGTGTTTTCAAATGTATTATTTTATGCAAAATTTATTTTTCCAAATTTAGGCAATGTCATTATATTCAATGTGGTTTAATTGTATTTTAAATGCATTTAAAAAAAAAAAAATTTAAAAAAATTATCTACAACTAAAAGTTTACATTTTTTAGTAGAGAACATAATAATTGGTTTTAACTTGCCTGAGGGATTGTAAAGCAAAGATTTGCATGAATTGTTTTAAGTCTATACTGTACATACCTTCAAAAGATGTTCTTCTTTAAACAAAAAGCAGGATAACATAGTTAAATCCATTATAAACAACATGGCGTGGCTTAAAATTCTAATATTATAATTTAAAGTACTTTAAAAAAAAACGTAAACAATGCAGGACAAAAGAAAGGTGTGGTCGGAAGAAATAATGGTGAGTTGTGACGTAATTTGTGGTCGAACAAATCTGTGATAACAACATTAGAAAACTTTGAATGCTAATATCTCCATTTTTGAAGAGAAGATTAAATCAAACAACTTATCTTAAAAAAGGGGGGGGTGAAAATTCGTCTCGTCATTGCACCCCTCTCTTTGGAGAAAGGGGGTGCACTTGTCCCCTTGCACCACCCCTGGTTACGGGCCTGCCGGACGGAAATAGTTAAATCCATATTGACCTTCAAAATATACAGACAAAAGTTCCTCCCACTTAATATTTGAAAACTAAAAAAGTTGTTGAGTTTAATCTGTCTAAAGGAGTATGCGAAAACTACGCGCAAGTGCAACTTTTTAAATTTAAAAACAAACACTGAACCTGGTATTTAGGTAGAACTATATCCACTGAAACCTTGTATTTCAATCCTCGATTCAGTTCTATCTTCTCCGCATCCATATCTAAACTATTCAGCTTTATTCCTCTATTAATCTTCTCCGCATCCATATCTAAACTATTCAGCTTTATTCCTCTATTAATCTTCTCAGCATCCATATCTAAACTTTAGACGTTATTTTTCTATCTTGAAATATCTATGGTTGCAAAGATATTATACAATTGCTTTGACCTCAATCTTTTCTTTTTGAGAACATGCATACAAACCAAGATAAAAGCAACCTTGTCCAAACCAAAATAAACATTGCAGAGTTTAGTCAAAGAATTAGTTTTACCAAATAGATAACGTTTATTTAAACTCCATGACTAAATCTGATGAACTATGTACTCTGGGTACAGACTAAGTTTGAGGGTTTTCTACAACTTTTCAAAGTTTTCTGACTTTTTTTACTTAGGACTTCTTAATTCTTAATTCTTAAGATTTTGTGATCCAAGAGTTTGCTTTGATTAGGTTTTTAACGGGTTAAAACTCGGGCATCAGATTATAGATCAAAACGAAAAATTATTCGTATTTTTTTCTTTGTCCGACCTACGGATTTTTGTAAAATCAGAGTTTTAGAGAATAAAATTTTTAAATTCAATTATCTAGATTTCTTTTTTAGCAAATGTTTTTTTTTGGGGTTTTGCATCTTAGCGGATAGTTAATTTCTAAAGTTGAATTTTGTAACTCACCTTGCATTAGGGAATGAACAAACTCCGGGTGTTTCTGGACAGCTTTGAAACATTAAATTCATCTCCTTGGAATATTTGTGATGTGGAGAGTAGGCCTGGAATATTAATAGTTTTCCACTCAAGCATAAAGGAATTAAGTCTTTGTAACAAACTCTGATTTGCTAATACCTATATTTTTTCCACCTGATGGTGTAAACCATAGATATTTCAAACTTAGATTTTTTCATCTAACAGAATTTATAGTTTGAAATATCTAAGGTCAACGGCATTGGATTACAAAGCTATAGAGATTAGAAAATCATAGTTTGTGACAAAGACTCAATTCCTTTATGCTTAAATAATTTGATCCTCCTGAGGTCAAACCTCTTGTAATTTAAATCTCTCAATAAAATACCTAGTCTGTTCCCCTTCCGGTTCCCGTCGGCTTAAGTTAAGATTCCATATACATGAATATATACATGAATATATGTAAGAATTTTGACTACTGAGGATCGACATGAAGCGTGAAACATTATGTTTAGTATAATTCTTTTTAATAAAATGTGAAGTTTAAAAACAGAAATATATAAATATATAAATATATATATATATGTAATAGATTTAGACTGCTATGACAAATTGCATCAATTTTCAAGACTGGGTCGACTTTAAAGTGTCGCAACACCTTGGCCTTTGATTCTACCCCACTAAATCAATAATAGTACTTTTGTAGTCGTGTTTTAGCTTTATTTTTTTAAAAAGAAGTTTTCAAAATTCTAATTGATATTTGCGTTAGAGCTTGCAACCATGAATCACTGTGATATATATTCCTAGAATTTAACTTTAAATCCTTTAATCATACATTACACTAGGGATGCCAAGTCGATGTGGCTGAGCGCTATCTCAACCAATATGTTTAGACTCTAAGCTAATAAAACTCCTGAACACCATGAAGACCCACAGTGATCCAAAGTTTGCGAGCCTTAACGAAAACAAATATGAAAATTTCCCCAATTACTTCTTAAAGGGACCGTTCACTTATTTGGGTAATTTCAGGGTCAACTAAACAGCCTATTCGCTCTTGATTGGTAATAGTCTTACTTTTCAAAGACAACTGTGGCCGGAGAAAAAGCCGATTTTTCGTTCAGAATTTGAGCGGAAAGGGACGGTCCCTCTCTATTGACACTATTTGATGTTTTTTTAAGTAACAGCAGCCCAATAACATTTAAATTTATTATATTTTAATGTCATTATGTGTTCGTTATTATGTACTAAAATATGAAAACTTTTGATATTTGAGTTAGCAAGAAATGAACGTTTTTCGTATTAAAACATGTAAAATGTGTATACAAAGACGACGTCTCTACGACAATCAACTAATCATCAATCGTATTTTGGTTCGTAGATTTTGTAGATTTTGTTCCAGCATGTGCACAACTTTTCATTTGTCATGCCGCGTTCAATTCAGCTTTTTACACAGGCAATGCAAAATTTAATGCGATAAAATAGTGTTATTTTAGAAATAGAAAGTTAAAAAACAAAAAAAAATAAAAAAAAAATGACATTTGCAATTAACGATTAGATACTACAGTTTAATTTTATATTCGAAATTTATTTTGATCCACAACATACTGAAAAAAAACATCAAAAAGTGTCTGAGAGGGACCGTCCCTTTCCGCTCAAATTCTGAACGAAAAGTCGGCTTTTTCTCCGGCCACAGTTGTCTTTGAAAAGTAAGACTATTACCAATCAACAGCGAATAGACTGTTTAGTTTACCCTAAAAATACCCAAATAAGTGAACGTTCCCTTTAAAAACTAATGTTAAAACGAGTGCACCATATAGTTCTAAAATATGCATGTAAAGGCTAAAAATAGATAAATGGGAGTAAGTGAGGTAAAACCGAATACCAAAACACTTCAAAGCCAGCCCAGTCTTGAAAATTGATGCAACTTTTGATAGCTGTCTGGGTCCATTGAACTATACATATATATATTTCTTGTCTGGGTCTATATATATACCATGAGTATACCTGAAAGAAGACTGAATATGAAATTATTGAGAGAAGGAGCAGCATCATCATTGTCAGATGGAACATCTAAACAAAACATTTTATGCACTTTTTACATATTGCGTCTTATTCTTTAAAGGATCTGTAAGCATAATTTCAAGTGAACCTCCATGCAAAGATGGCTATTCACGATACACAACGGTACCCTTGAAACCTTTATCTGAGCAATAATGAGGAAGATATTGTTGTTTTTCTAGGTTTAAAAAGTGCTAAATTCTTAAAATCCAAGTATGTTTTCCTGCATTAAAAATGCACTTTTGTAGAGAAACCACAATTGAAAAAAATCAGTTCTGAAAATTAAAAACATTGATATCTATTATCTAATTTATACTTGATCATGATATATATATATATTTATACTTGATCTGAAAAGGTTGCAAGGGTACTATATTGTGGAACTGACATATTGTAGTCTTTGTGTGAAGTGTCACTTATAATTAAGCTTACATTCCCTTTAAAGGGAGTGTTTACGATAGTTCATGGGGAATATGTTGATGAATTCGACAACTAAACCATTGAGAAAGTTTGGTTTTATCCGTTCCACATTTGAACCGGAAAATGTCTCTGTCAATGCTGTCCAATAGGTAAGACCATGGACGTGTATAAGGATTTAATTCTTGGAGGGGGGGGGGGGATGATACAAAAACAGTGATTAGGTTTTAAGTCCCTTAACCACTTCTAAAAGGTTCAAAAATTTGCTTTAAACCCCAGTTTTCCCTATAAAAGTCAACCTAATTAGAACTTTTCAAACAAGCTAGGAATCATCAATGCATAGTTCAAAAATTACAACAAAGAATTTCGAATATTTGATTAACGTGTTGGCAAAATAAGGCATTGGGGTCGGCAAAAGTTCAAAATATTGCAGCCCATTTTTCGGACAATTTTAAAGTTTTAATGTTTTATTTACAGTTTATGGTCACACCATTTACATATTTACCAATATTTTGGCTAGAATCATGATTATCTGTATCTGAGTTCTCCTTCCAGATTATAGTTTCAATTCTGAAGGTTGACAATCTCTTTAGATTTCGGGTTTATCTTTGGTTTACGGATATTAGTTCTGAAGGTATTGAGTTGATCTGGGTTCTGAGTTAAAATTCTAGGCTCTTTGTTGATCAGGGTTGCGTCGGTTTCTCCAGAGAGCTTAGTATTGAGTGTTCTTCACCGGGATTTGTTGAAACTTTATCTTCTTGATACAGGTTTTGAATTCTTTCTCCGGGTTATAGTTTGTGTGCTGATTCTCCAGATCTTTATGTAAGAACCCTCCAACGGAGCTCCTAGATCTCAACTACACCCTGAGCTGAACCCAGTCAAGTTCTACCCTTAGCTCATGTGTCAAGATTAGTGTCAAAGATCAGTATTTGGAATTTAAAGGTTTTCTTTACAAAAGAGTTGCCAACAAAAGTTGTAAATTAAATGGAATTATAAATGGAATAAAGAGTGATTCCCAACGGCAAAACAGGTTTTCCGTCATCTGTGATCATACAGAGGTTTAATATGTACCATTGTGAATCGGACATGCCACTCTATATATGGTGGGTCACATGAAATTACGTCATACAGACACAGTTCCCGAACTGATCACCGGAAACTCTTGAAATATCCCAATATGAAGGTTAAATTCAGTGTTAAGTAATCAGTATTAACAAATTCTTTAAATTTATACTAAAAAATCTGATTTAAAGGGACTGGAAACGAAAATGAAAGGGGGTATAGGCTGAAACCTGAGCATCTCGGGAGTTGATTGAGACCTGTAAGACATCTATCTGATGTTCCTGCCTCGAGAAACGTATATATGTAAGATGTACGTCCATATCATTTGGCCAGAACTCCCTCCAATAGCAGTGCAGTATACTGGTCACGTGATACAGACGGAGACACGTGACAATAATACTGTACAGCCATTGGTTGGAGTTCTGGTCCCAACACCCGGACGTGTAAATAATATTATCAATTACATTTATTAAAAATGAAAAATTATTAAATTAAAATAATAATAGGAGCAAACCTGAGTTTCTCAGGCTCCTCTGGGATATTGTAGTTTTCAGATTGGTTGCGTATTTGTTGAATATCATCTATTTAATGCTACGAATCTTATACAAAATCTTACATATATACGTTTTGGTATAATTTTGACATGGTTTTATATCAATTTTTCGAGACAGAAACATCAGGTCTCAATCAACTCCTGAGAATCTCAAGTTTTAGTCATACCCCCTTTCATTTTTCCTTTACAGTCCCTTTAAGAACAAACAGACATATGTTTTTTGGGGGAAATACGGCAAATTTTGTTGCTTTAAGTACTTACTTAAGAATTTCAGTAATTGTTCATTGTCTGTCTGCAGCTTTAAATAATCTTTCAGATTTAGTTAAAATATTCTAATATTTGTGTTTTTTATGACAACCCTCCCCTTTCCTCACATACTGAATATTTGAGTATTTACATTCTCGCTTTTCTGGAAAATGTCAGGTTCTTTAACTACGGAAGTGTTAAAAAGCAGTTTTGCAGTCCATTGATACTATTTTAAATAAAATGACAGACCTTAATCCAAAATGCTCATTTTCCATCTGATCCTAATTCAACAGTTTTCTTTTATACAGGAACGATCAAAATTCCACCATTCGTCTCGTTCTGACGGAGTTCCTTTTTAGGAGTAAAAATGCAACATTTGTCAGTCAAACGTTCTTTACATTCCAGTGTAATAAATTGGTTAAAATCCCCCTCCCTTCCCCCTCCCTTCTCCCTTCCCCCACAGCCATGTACTGGTTCGCACGGAACCGGTTAAAAAGTATCCAACATCAAGAAAATATACGTACGCGCGTATAGGAGTTTCTACCTGCCTACCGCGCATAGTGCTTCATTCAGTGACAGACCATAGTGCGCTCCTTGAGCAACATCGGAGTGCACGGAGAGAGAACGTTTACGCAAATTGTGTTACGCACGTATAGTGATGGTTCCAGGAAATTCAGTGACGCGTAACGAGTAATCATATGCTTTAAAAGATGAAGGTATAAAATTTACGCATATTAACCAATTTTTGATGATTATTTCGGATAATTTTTTACCCTCTGGGTAAATATTAGAGATTACATAAAAAACCAAATTTGGGGCTAAATCATGCAAAGTATACCGACTTAAAATTTCTATACTTTAAACAGAAATAGTTGTTGCTGTAGTAAGATGGCCATCAGTTGGTAGTTGTCCAGATTTTGTAATTTTATTTTCTGAAAATAAAGAACAATAGTGAAAGAAAATGCTTTAAAAAAAACAGATTCTAAACACATTTTCAAAAAGTCTATTTTTTATAAGTAATTCCTTTTTGTACTTTAAGATAAAAGCTTTATTACTGGTCTAAATCTGAGGATTGTATGCATTATATTTGATTAGAAATCTTGTTGCTTACTCATTCATATTTAATCTTATCAAGGTATTCGGCATATTCTCAGTGAAACCAGATAAAGCAAGGTTGATGCAAGATTATCAACATTATTTTTTTCAACAATCTTGGCTTTTATGCGCACTTAAAAATAAATATTTAAACTTTAGTGGCATGAAAGAAAAAACGAGTTTATACATGAATTTTAGCAAAAGGCGATGAAACCGTCATTTTAATCACATATTTGAGCTAGTTGTAGCCTCATTTGGTTCATGTTTATCTAACAGAAAATTTCTTTAAATACCTGGACCTTACTATGCCTTCTTTTCTGAATAGTTCTTTAAATACCTGGACCTTACTATGCCTTCTTTTCTGAATAGTTCTTCAAAACCTGGACCTTAATATACCTTCTTTTCTGAATAGTTCTTCAACCTTCTTTTCTGAATAGTTCTTCAAAACCTGGACCTTACTATACCTTCTTTTCTGAATAGTTCTCAAAATAATTTTCTTCAAACCTTGATTTTATTTGAAAATTAATTGAAAGACCAGATAAGGAATTGTCAACATAATTTTTAGTGACCATTCGATAAAAAGTAGCAAATGGGACAAAGGCAACGGGAACGGTTTATGAATGATAATGACATGATGCTTAAATGAATGTTCACTTTATTAGAGATTTAAAATTACGTTCAGTTCTTTTTTAAACTCCGCCATTAGATTAAAATGAACTGAATTCTTGTTATATCTATACCATCTGATGTGTTTAGATATAAGGATTAGAAAATCAGAATTTGTAACTAGAACTTTAATATATGTGTATTTAAGTATGAAACCTTACAGTCTGTAGTGAAGAGAACGTGCACTTTTATCCATGTAAAAGGATTAAGATTAAAACTATTATCCTATTCTACCACTCAACTTGAAGTAAGAAAGGTGTGAGAATGATTAAACATTTCTCAGGGATAAAGGCGAAATAGTAATCAGGTTCTTTTCCAGCTGCTGGTACTAATGTTTTGTCCAAGATCCTGGTACTGAGGTTTTGTCCAAGCTCCAGATCCCAAGATTTTGTCTAAAGTCCTGGTACTATGGTTTTTTTCCAAGCTCCTTGTACTAAGGTTTAGTCCCAGCTCTTGGCTCTAAGGTATTGTCCAAGCTCCTAGTACTAAGGTTTAGTCCCAGCTCTTGGCTCTAAGGTATTGTCCAAGCTCCTGGTACTAAGGTTTAGTCCCAGCTTTTGGTTGTAAGGTTTTGTCCAAGCTCCTGGTAATAAGATTTTTGTCCAAGCCTCAGGTCCAAAGGTTTAGTCCAAGCTCCTGGTTCTAAGGGTTTTTTCCAAGCTTCTGGTACTAAGGTTTAGTCCCAGTTCTTGGTTCTAAGGTTTTGTCCAAGCTCCTGGTACTAAGGTTTAGTCCCAGTCTAAGGTTTAGTCCAAGCTCCTGGTACTAAGGTTTTGTCCAAGCTCCTGGTTCTAAGGTTTTGTCCAAGCTCCTGGTACTAAGGTTTAGTCCCAGCTCCTGGTACTAAGGTTTTGTCCAAGCTCCTGGTACTAAGGTTTAGTCCAAGCTCCTGGTACTAAGGTTTTGTCCAAGCTCCTGGTACTAAGGTTTTGCCCAAGCTCCTGGTACTAAGGTTTGTCCGAGCTCCTGGAACTAAGGTTAGTCCAAGCTCCCAGTACTAAGGTTTAGTCCAAGCTCCTGGTACTAAGGTTTTGCCCAAGCTCCTGGTACTAAGGTTTAGTCCAAGCTCCTGGTACTAAGGTTTTGTCCAAGCTCCTGGTATCAAGGTTTTGCCCAAGCTCCTGGTACTAAGGTTTTGCCCAAGCTCCTGGTACTAAGGTTTAGTCCAAGCTCCTGGTACTAAGGTTTTGTCCGAGCTCCCGGTACTAAGGTTTAGTCCAAGCTCCTGGTATCAAGGTTTTGCCCAAGCTCCTGGTACTAAGGTTTGTCCGAGCTCCTGGTACTAAGGTTTTGTCTAAGCTCCTGGTACTAAGGTTTTGTTCAAGCCCCTATAGTACTAGTTTTGTATCAAGCTTCAGTTAAAACTCCAGGTATCTGGGTTCCGTATCCAGGTTCAGTTTTAGCTCCTGGGATCAGGGTTCTGTATCCAGTTTAAGTTCTTGGTCTTTGTAACACGATTTTGTATTATCATCCTGGAGCATAATTGTCGAAGAGCTAGAGAGAATATCTAATAAAGTACCTCCCCCCCCACACAAGATGGGAACCAAGGTGCTTAGTCCACTCTTTAAAGATAAAGTTTCTTAATTTTCCGTGTTCATTTCTTAAAGGGAGTGACTGGCAATGTAGTTTGTTGAGAAATTATTTAGGATTCATTTGAGAAATATAAGACTTTTTAATGATGTTTAATTACTGAGTTTGAGCGAAAATCAATTATTTTGAACATCGATTTTGCCCTAAAACAGAGTAATTATACATCATTAAAACGTTTCATATGTCTCAAATGAATCTACAATCTACAATCTCAGTTCAACTCCCATACATTGCCGGTCATTCCCTTCATACATTATCTTCATAATATAATAGTAGGAGTATAATATCTTTCCATTCTTGGTTTTTAATTAGTGTTGATAAAAAGATTCCGGAAATGGATGATTGATTATTTGAAATCAAATCAAATTAGCAAAACGTCAAAGTGATCATTAATCAAAAACAAAAAAGGAAAAATAAAAGCAATTTTTTATTTTTTGAAAATGAGAATTGTCAATTAATATGAATTATCATATTTTCTGTACAATTGAACTGAGTTTTTGTAACAGTCTCTTATATTTTAATCCCTGTATCTTTGCAACCTTATGTCGTTGCGCTTTGATATTTCAAACGATGTTAAATTAAATAGTCTAAGTTTGAAATATCAAAGGTTTACACTATTAGGTTGCAAATAAAAAATATAAGGATAAAAACATTTCAATTCGGGACAAAAACTCAATTCCTTTTGTTCCTGTAATATTTGCATAGTTACGACAACTGCCTATTTAATGTCAGGCGTTACTGTTAAAGCAAAGAAAATAGATTTTTTAAACCAATATAAATTCCTTAGTTTAAACACATCACACAGTTCTAACCATAGTTTAAACACATCACGCAGTCCTTACCGTAGTTTAAACACATCACACAGTTCAAACCATAGTTTAAACACATCACGCAGTTCTAACCGTAGTTTAAACACATCACACAGTTCTAACCATAGTTTAAACACATCACACAATCCTAACCGTAGTTTAAACACATCACACAGTTCTAACCATAGTTTAAACACATCACACAGTTCTAACCATAGTTTAAACACATCACACAATCCTAACCGTAGTTTAAACACATCACACAGTTCTAACCATAGTTTAAACACATCACGCAGTTCTAACCGTAGTTTAAACACATCACACAGTTCTAACAATAGTTTAAACACATCACACAGTTCAAACCATAGTTTAAAAATATCACGCAGTCCTAACCATAGTTTAAACACATCACGCAGTCCTAACCGTAGTTTAAACACATCACGCAGTTCTAACTGTAGTTTAAACTCATCACACAGTTCTAACCATAGTTTAAACACATCACACAGTTCTAACCGTAGTTTAAACACATCACGTAGTTCTAACCGTAGTTTAAACACGTCACGTAGTTCTAACCTTAGTTTAAACACATCACGTAGTTCTAACCGTAGTTTAAACACATCACACAGTTCTAACTGTAGTTTAAACACATCACGCAGTTCTAACCGTAGTTTAAACACATCACACAGTTCTAACTGTAGTTTAAACACATCACGCAGTTCTAACCGTAGTTTAAACCCATCACACAGTTCTAACTGTAGTTTAAACTCATCACGCAGTTCTAACCGTAGTTTAAACACATCACACAGTTCTAACCGTAGTTTAAACACGTCACACATTTCTAAATAATAATGGTTTAAATACATCAGTTTAGTCAATCTAATCATTAATCTCGGCTGATCTCAGAAACGTTTCTGTTTTTACAGGTTGATTGTTTTCCATGTCTGTGTTTAATGTTTAGTACAAAAAGTACTTACCAAAATAAATTGAAAGATGACAAGTTAAAATGCATCTTATATTCTTAAATTAAAAAATGTTGAAATGCAGTTTTCTTTAAAATCTTACTTGAAATAAAACCAAATAATAGATGCTTTTATGAATATCAATTTAATTAAAATCCATGACAAGACCAGAAACACAATTTAAAATTTTTTCTAAAACCTTTATGAGATTTCGTAAAACAACTTAAAAGATGATAAAAAATATTTCTTTTGAGAAAACATGTGAGTTGAACATTTTTTCTCATCTTTATTTATTTTGTTGTAATAAAGGTGTTGCCTGTAGTTTATGCCCGTCATGGTTCATTTCATTTATTGTGTACTGTTTGTTGATGCTTTGTTTGCACAGTCAGTTGCAAAGAAACACATTTAAAAAGCTAGCAACTTAGTTCATTAATAGATGATAATTAGATCGGTTGGTTGATCATTACAAGATTATCCGCTGAACCCTAGATCGATGATCAGATGATCATCGGGTAATCATAAAAACAGATGATTTTAAGATCCGTTGATCAATGATGATATGAAAATATATTTTTTAAAAGGGTTGTATTTTGGTAT